TGTATAAAGGGCAAAGATGGGTCCAGAAAAGGGCAGGCGGCACTCCTAGTCCTAGATTCAGCCGTCCCCGGTGACCGGCTGATCACTAACCTAGGTCGTGTCGTGTGCTTCCGTGGTGCCATTTCAAAAAAAGATTAAAGTAAAGAGAAAATTAAGAGTAAGAGAACCGACGGTTACCTGAACGAGTGACGATTGATGAAGTTCTGAAAATCCTTTGCAGTCGGCTTGTCAGAGCAGGCGGTAGGCAGAAAGGGTCCAAAATGTCAGAGCCAGTTCAGGGGTCCGAATGTTCTCTCACAAAGTTTTCAAGTGTGAAAATGACCGAAGTCAACACTCCTTTATATAGGCGAAGTGAGAAGGCGAAGGGTCACTTCCAGAATTCAAAATTTTGGCGGGAGAATCTCTCGGCCTCTCGCCGAGTGACACCTGTAGCAGGCCGTCGCCTGTTACAGGGCGATACCTGTCACAGGTAACACGCGACCAGTCACGTGCTACCTGTGAGGGGCAAATGATTAGGGGATTTTTCCCCACCAATCACCATCTGACAAGTGGACCAATCAGGTTCCGCCATGTGTCCGTCACATGGGCCAATAGGAGCCTGCCACGTGTCAAGCAATGATCTGTCCACTATGGACCAATTACGACACGACACGTGTCCTTCCCCTGACACATGGGATAACCGGTCACCTAGGCCCAACTTCCGTGGGAAGCCCAATCAGCCCAAGGTTAACCTAAACCTAGATTGGCACGTTTCCCGAGGTTATAAATACCTCCCTTAATCCTCATTAAGGGAGATTACGCAGATTACACACATTAAACTCTCTCACCTAGAGAGACCCAATCACTTTAATTTCCGCATTAATTACTCCTTAATCAAGTACTAACTTGACCGTTGGAGGCGGATCTCCAATCATCCGGAGCATCCGTTTGTTTTGCAGGTACAGGCGTCCGGTTCCAGTCTCGGAATTGTAACTCTCCCACAGGACATCAGAAAACCCCGAAACAATACACACATGTTAAACTTGTACTTACCATTATTACCATACCTTCTTTCTTTTGGTTTTATACTTTTATCATACTTTAAACACTTCCATCTCTAGTTCTTTAGCTTCATCAAAGATAATATCTAAATCATTACCAATTTTATTTATATAGAATTAGATGAAGCTCGTACGATATACGGTTTGTTTGTATTTTTTTAAATAAATATTTTTTATCCCGTCAAAAAATATTAAATAAATATTTTTTGTATATATGTCATAAGATTTGTTACTTTATTCGTTGTACTACGTAATATATCATTTTATATTATTATTTTAAAATAAATATTGAATTTCCTCTCATTCGTTATATATTTAAATAAAAATTTTAATTTCAAAAGATAATATTTTATATTTAATTAATTTAAACTTTAAAATCTCATTCCCCAATTTTGCTACATTTGAATTATTTAATTATAAAAGAAATTACAAATCTCGTGCATTAAAAAAATTTAATCCTAATGGCTCTCTAAAAACTTGGAAAAAACTCCGTTCTCGTAATATTGCAACAACTGGATTTTTACACTATTCATCATACTTGTTTGACCACAAATTATGACTTATACGTAAACTAAAATATAGTCATGTGGGGTCTTGTCAGATTCGTCTCGTAAAATACTTTCACAATATCAACTTTTTATAATTTTTAATATTATATAATTATAGATATTTAACATATAAAATGTGCTTTGGGATGCGTAATTTTATCTTTGTGGAACAAAGAAAGTATTAGATTAGAGATATTTATGTATTTGTGATAAACTACGTAATAAAACCTAAATTTTGTGAGAAACTTTCTAATAAAAAAAAATGTTGTAAGAAACTACCAAATAAAAGATATAGAAGTATAATGTTGTAAGATACTACATTTGATCGAATTTCCACCGTTGACTTAATTTTACGACGTTGATTCACCTTAAAACACCCCCGAAACCACCGTGAGGGTTGGTTTTCAAGGTGGTAAGGTTATTTTCGGGGTGGTTAGAAGATATTCCGAGTTGGTGAAGATAGATTAGTGATTCGAGATAGTGGTTTTTGGGGTTGACCGGAGGTTTAGGTGTGGTGGAGGCTATTTCAAGCAAGTTATGTTAGTTTTGGGAATGAAAGTGGTGGTTTCGACAGTGTTTTGAGGTTGGTCAACGGTGAAAATTCGGTATAGGTAGTACAAAAAAAAAAAGGTAGTTTATTACGTACAATTTTTTATTTTTATTAGGTAGTTTCTCACAAAATCTGGGTTTATTAGGTAGTTTTTGACAAAAAGTCCATGTATTAAAGTGTATTTGGAGATTGAAAAAATAGTTAAAAAATTAAATGGTTCGTTGACTAATTTGCTTGCCGTGAACTCCAAGTTCAGCCAGTTCTTCGAATGATTTATCTATTCACGCATATATAAATAAGAATCAATTGAGATGACTAAGGCATAAAAAGCTTGAAAGTTTGAGAGATCACCAAGACACCAATGGCATTTGAAGGTATGTTAAACTACGATACTAATTTCTTCTTTAAATAAAAAAAAAATGTGTCTACAAATAGTGTATTACATTTCTTCAATAAAAAAAAAATAAATAAAAAAAAAAATACAATAAGTCAATAAGTGTATACTCTGTATAGCCTGACTTAGCCAGGTGTACACAATACAACCATTATATACAAAACCGTACCAATTGTAATGTTTATGTATAAATATATTGACTATTGTTTGCTTTTGGTTCAAAAAAATAATTATTCAATTCAGGTGATAGTGATGATAATAAACGATCGATGAAGGTGGTTCATCAATTCTACATGGCCAAAATAAACAGATTTTTTCCAGATCCTGTTTTGCAAATCAACTTACATGCCACCAAGAAGTCCCTCAACCGGATCGAAGCAAAGAGTAAAAGCTTGCTCAATAAAATACAACTATTAAAGGTGCGTAAATCTTATAATTCACTTTCTGATATCAAGTTAATTTAGATATTATTGTAAAGGATTTGATCAAATCATCATTATCTTTTTTAGTTATTGTAATCCCTTAATTAATTCATTAACCTTAGCTTGATAGTCAAAGATATTCGATCCTAAGGCCCTGTTCACTTCACCTTAAAAAAATAATATTCAGTAAAAATAATTTCAGTTCAGTAAAAATAAGTTCAGTTCAGTAAAAATAATTTCAATTCAATAAAAATCAGTAATTTAAAAGAAGAAATATAACTAAAAATCAGTAAAAAATAATTTCAATTCAGCAAAAATAATTTCAGTTCAGTAAAAATAATTTCAATTCAGTAATATTAATTTCAGTTCAGCAAAAATAAGGTGAAGTGAATGGGCCTAATTCTTAGCTAATGTATCCAGTCATGGTTTGGTGAAGTTTAATGCTCATGTATACTCATCAATATTATATTTTTGTATCTAGTCATGGTTTGGTGATCCCTAATCATCATTATCTTTTTGTGTGTGAGTGATTTTTTTTTTTTTTTTTAAATAGCAAAAATAATTGGTGCCTCAATTAGCTTAGGAAACTTTATATCTTAAGGGTTTGAAAATTGATGTGTAGATGTTTAAGGGTGTGTTCTATTTACTTATCTGAACTTATTTGAATTAATTTGAATTTATTAAAACTTATTTTAGTTGTAATTTGAACTTAGGTAACCCTTATCAGAACTTATTTGTCTTGAACTGTACTAATTAATATAAACTTATTTTTTTTAAACTGAACTTATCTAAAATTACTTGAACTTATTAGAGCTGAAATAAGTGAAAATAAGGTGAATTGAACTGCTCTAAAACGAAAAAGGAAAGAACTAACAGTGTTAGGATTCAATAAGGGTATTTCATAACATCTTATCAAACCTCAAAGGTTCGTGATGATGAATTTCTAGAAATATGTGGGAATCCCATGAATTATTGAAAACATAAGAGGTACCTCATGTATAAATCGTTTAATTTTTGAATTTCCAAATAGGATTAATTTATTTACGATACATACCGTACAATCTTCACCCATTGCTAGAGACATACAATAGTATTTAATACGAGTACAAGATTCATACATTAGTATAATAATACAAGCTAAGTAATAAACTAATGAGTAGTTAATAAATTTTATGCAGGATAAATTAGAATCCTTGAGATTAGATATTCATACAAGAAATTACAAATTCGAAAGTTTAATTCAAAGTTTTGAATCCGGTCGAGAGTTTCTTCACAAGCATTGGCCTCAAAGCATTGTAAGCATTTCAATTTTTTTTTTGGTTGATTTCAATTCTTTGACTTGTTTAGCTGTTCACACTACCCAAAACAAAATACATCTTTTTACTCTTAACAAATAAAAAGAAACAGAAAGAGTAGTAAGTTAATGCATAAAATTATAAATTTCAATTCTTTAACTTGCTCACACTTATTTTATAAATCAATATCATGAATCATTTTTATTTTTATTTATTTTTTTTATTTTTTTTTTTGAGGAAGAATCAAAATGTTTTAATTGATTGCTATATCCATTTTAAAAATTTATTTTTTAATAGAGGATTAAATCCTTAAATACATTTTCTGCAATTAGAAATTAATATTGTACAATTTCTGCATGTCGTTGACAATAATTTCATTGTGTGTTATAAGTTTAAACTAGCATTATACTTTGAATTTATTAGCTAATTACAACTGGCATGTATTTAAAAAAAAACGTGGAATTGGTACGTAAAAATCATATAACTTTCTTCATTGATTAGGCTAACTGCAAAATTTATTAACATTTACAATCTTTCATCATCAATAACTAGATAAATTCTTTTTTTTTTTTTGAAGAAAAATAACTAGATAAATTCTAAATAGATTTCAATCTACATCCATATTTTCTACCATGCTAGCTATTTACAAACAATTCTACATGTATTTCTACTCATATTTCAAAATATATATATATAAGTAATTCTACCTTTGCCACTTTCTTGCATGATAATTGGCTAATTGCCATAAGATATGTTGTACATGGTTATTTGGCTTATTGAGTACTTATATATACAGAATGAAAGCCTAGAGGTAAAAGAATCGAACCCAAAGATAGAGTTGGTTGAAATAAAGAGGAAAATTCCGGGTTTGATTGAGCAATTAGGTCATGGGAAGATGAAATGGGCGAAAGAGAAACAAATCTTGAAAGAGCTTGAGCATCTCCAAAGGAGGGAGGTGTTACTTGATGGCAAAATTAAAGAAGCAGAATCTAAAATTCCGTTTTCAATACATAGACCTCGTCACAATTGGTACTATGGTTCTATGAATAAGTATGATTTGAAACAACATCTCCATGTAAGTTTTTCTTATTAATAACCAACATATTCACTTTATTAAGGTTATGTTTAGATCACCTTATTTTTGTTTATCTGATTTTTTTTTTTTTTTATCTGATGTGATTGAATTGTCTAATTTGACTAAACTTTGACTTTATATGTAAGCTAAACTGTAATATAAGGAAAAAAAATATCAAACGGAGTTTTAATAGATTTGTACTATACATTAATGTATAAATTACAAATATTTTTCATAAATATTTTATTGGGAAATTAAAGATATATAGCTATAAAAAACGCACAATAAAGTATGTTCAACACTTATCTTCATTTTGATCTGATTTAATCTAAACTTATTTTTTGGCTTGCACTTAAATAAGTAATAGGGTAAATAGCCTAAGTTTTTGTATTAGTTTGCTATCTGAATTGGATTAAGCTATAAACAAATGGCATGACGATACAATAAATTTGCATTGACATGAAGTTTTCTCATTGTCTCAACATAGAGATGTTTGAAGGAAATTAAGGATTTTGAAGAACAAGAGAAGGTTGCAAAAATGCAGCGCATACCACAAATGGTTGAATTAGAGAAACAGATTTCATCTCTTGAGAATAAACACAACATTTTAAAACAAGAGGAACAAATAACAAAAGATTGCCTTTTAGCTCTTGAAATCCAAGTGAAGAAGCAGGTATATGTATATTTTCTTAGTATTATTACATCAAATTACCTTAATGACTAATTATAAAATAATTATGCTTATTATGGCAGATTGCTCTTTATGAAAGATATTGCAAATTACAAAAGAAGGCACAAGAGCTTGCAACACAGAAAAAATTAGATACCCTTGAAAAATTGTCCCTTAGAGAGGTTAGTGTTGTTTAAATAAAGATTTAGCTATTGAATTACCTTTTTTTTCCTTGGATGTTTTAGTTATTTGTGATTTAATTTGTTCGTTCCTTGTATATATACATGTTTAGATCGAAGAGTTCATGTCTAGATGGACAAATGACGACGAATTTCGAGCTAATTATATAAGAAGTATTGAGCTATCCCTTGCCAATCGAGACTTATGTAGTGATGGAAGAATGTTGTTGGATCCATCGGAAATGATAATAGCTTCAAGTACATGCACAATTTAATTAATAACTTTGGTATCGGGTTTGAACTTGATTTATATAAAGTCGGTCGCATGCATCTATGTTATATGGCCGTGTCGCACCATTTCAACAAGTACGTGGTCCACCCAAAGGAGTTTAACACAAGCACTTAAGCTAAGCCTAAGAAGATCAAGATTTTGAAGAAAGTGCTCCTTTAATTTTGAAATTTGTGATGTTCTAACATCCAATTCCAAATAAGCTAATTATCAAAGAGTGTAGTGAAATTTTTTTTTTCCTTCTTTTTTTGGTGGAAGGAAAAATTATAATGTCTGTACTGTGTACTCCACTCCGTAAGTGTTATTTGTCTAATTGTATTCCCTCCGTATTATTTATTCGTATATATAATTGTATTCCTTCTGTTTAATTTTGTTTTTCTTGTTTCAATCTTGCACTACTTCTATTGCATACATTTAAACAATAACATCTTTAACACCCTATCATAACTTAATACAAACTTAGAGAAAGAAGAGAAAAAATAAAAAAAACCTCAAACTTGTACAAGTACAATAACTAGATGCGTATGTACTTGGCCTTTAGACTCTAGTTTTCTTAATTCTTATCAAGGTTTAGGCCTTGTTTGGTTCACCTTATTTTTACTGATTTGATCTGGTCTGATCTGATTGTCTGATTTGACCAAATTTTGACCTTAAGTGTACGATAATTTATAAAGGAAAAATATATCAAGTGGGATCTTGTTAGATTCATAATAATGTGTAGTTTATTAATATGTAATTTTCACAATTTTTTTCATTACGAAATTAAGAATATTTAGCGATAAAAAAACCGCACATAAAACAATGTTCTGATCTGAACTTATTTTTCTGATCTGATGTACTTATTTTTTCTGAAACAAGTAAAAATAAGTTAAACTAAACAAGGCCTTATATGGAAGTTGACACGGAGTACCTATAATTTTAATTTCTTAACCCTTTTTATTTTTTTTTTAATATTTAAACTTTTTACTGAAGATAATGGTTAAATTGATTCAATTGAGAGAATTCCTAAGCAAAGCTACAACAGAAATTGAAAAGTAGTAAGTTTCAAAAAAAAAAAAAACAGAAATTGAAAAGTTCTTTGATATCCCCTAGGCTACGAGTCTGTTGTTGATGATAGCAAAAAATGGAGAAGTCTACAAAAAAGGATAAACGCCCTGACAAACAACTTCTTGAATTGGTGTTCTCTTGGTCAATCAAAGATGTTCGGTCTTTTTATTTTTTTGTACTTGGTCTTTTGGTATATTCGTGTGTACGTGTTTGTGTGTGCGTGCCTATCCTATGCTTAACTTTGTGTATTATAATGTTATCTTATCGCCACTTTGTTTTGCTCCCTCAATTCCGTAAAAACATTTTTCATAGCATGGTTTTAATTTATTGGTTTAGATGTAATAATAGTAATCCGTATAGTTAAGGTTTCTACTCATTTTAGGATGGAGAGAGTATATTTAAAGTTACATTATACCTTAGATGAAATCAATGAATTTTTAGAATATAATTAAGCCTATATATAATTCCAGTCTCGTGGGCTACTTACTTATGCATTATAACATGTTTAATTTACTTCAAGTTCAATGATAATCTGTTATCTTTATGAGAATATGTATAATAATTGTTTCATGTTTTTCAATCTTCATAATAAACTTCAGGTTAAGAAAATACCAGACATTTTCGTATCTAGTACACACTACTTAAGCTCATTCAAGATGTCACTTATAGAAGAGACTCGCGCTGAATACTGTTCCGGTGTGGAATCAGTTGCTCAAGCCCCTGTGTGTGAGATATCACACATTTGGTTGTCCAAGCACTACAAGCCCTCTAAAAAAAGATTCATCTATGACATTCTTAACAAAGCGATAACAGATGCTGAAAAACATAATAATCGACATTACTACGAGCCACAATCTGGTGATATATTTGCTATAACAAACCGGAGGCCTAGAGGTATTCAAGATTTAATCAGATTTGATAAATCAGTTCATATTGCATTTGTTTCCAAGACTGAAGAAATTACACCTGTAATCGAGATACTGTCATCAGAATGTATTGATCGTCAGAGATTGAATAAAAAGAATGAGAGGCTTTTTGTTACTTACTTGATGAATATGACAACCAATCTCAGAATATGGGCTGCACTACATACTGATCCTAAAAGCGCGAATTTAGGCCTGATTCAGAAGGTGCTGCAATACAACCCTTCTGTAAGTAAACAGGCCTGTTTTTTTTCCTGTTTTTTCTGAAGCTGATACTGATACTTATATTAATAAATCGATGTTTCTAATTTCCCTTGGAATTGATTGAAGATATGTGGTTATCAAATCAGGTCGATGATGATTGTTCCTTATGTATATCAAATGAAAGATTGTCTGATCTAACCGGCTCACTCGGATTAGATGAGTCTCAGAAAGAAGCTGTTCTGAGCAGTATTTCCTTGAGAAAATGTCTGCATCAAATGTACAATGTGAAGCTGATTTGGGGTCCACCCGGAACAGGAAAAACGAAAACAGTTGCTTCTCTTCTGTCTGTACAACTTAAGCTAAAGTGCAGGACACTTACTTGTGCTCCTACAAATATAGCAGTAGTTCAGGTTGCTGAGAGGCTTATGAGGCTATTCGTTAAGTCCCTTGTCTACGACACTTATGGAATGGGAGAAATAGTCTTGTTCGGAAATGAGGAAAGAATGAAGATCAATGATCACAAGGATATCCAGGACATATTTCTTAAAGATCGCATGGAAATCATTGATGAATGTCTTAAACCTACTGAAGGTTGGACTTACAGTCTGGTATCGATGATATCTTTGCTCGAAGACCCTCAAGATTTGTATAATTCTTACTTGGTACCGGATAATAAAAAGAATGATAGTGATAAGGAAGATGAGGATTCTGAGAGTAATGGAAGTGGTGATGAAAATGTATGTGGTGCTAAGGTGGAAGCCGCGAGTGTAGACAAAGAGGAAGGGGCAAGGAGTCGTACCAAGAAATGGAAGGAAATTATTGATCAGTCCTAGAGAGCGAGCAAGAAGGAAAACAGGAAGAGCCGAAAAGGTAATTTCCAAGATAAGCATTCGAAAGAGGATGGTGAAGCTAGTGATGATGTAACAAAGACTGAACAAGTTTTGACATTTGAGGAGTTTGTGAGAAAGAAGTTTTGCTCTTTAGCTAATCAATTAGTATTTTGCGCGGAGAATCTCTGTACTCACTTACCAACATCATGCTTACCGTTAGATGTGGCGAAACAGATGATTAAGCTTGTTGATCTACTTAGGACAACGCTCGAATATGCTAGAAAAAATGGTTGTCAGTACTCTGAACTGATTCTGACAAAAAAGGAAGAAATCTTACCTGTACTGAACTTGCTTCAAGAACGATTTCCTAAGCCTAATATCACTGGAGGAATAAAGGAATTTTGCTTAGAAAATGCGCGTTTGATCTTCTGTACTGCTTCAAGCTCGATTAAAGTGAAAACTCGAGTTGAGATGGTGGTCATAGATGAAGCTGCACAGCTTAAAGAATGTGAGTCAGCCATTCCCTTACAAATTCCTGGCCTTAGAGTCGCGATTCTCTTTGGCGATGATCGACAACTCCCTGCCATGGTTCAGAGCAAGGTCAGCTGTTATATGTTCTTACACAACTATTACATATTTCTGCTTAGAATTCCCCTGCTTTTTTAACCTGTAAAACTCAGAATTTTCACTATTTTAGGTGTTGGAAAAGATGAACTATGGAAGGAGCCTGTTCCAACGGATCGCAACACTAGGGAAGAAGAAGCACCTCCTCAACATACAGTACAGGATGCATCCTACAATAAGCTCATTTCCGAATAAAGAGTTTTATGAGAACAAGATTGTAGATGCACCAAATGTCAAAGAAATAAGCTATGCAAAGAATTTTCTTAAGGAAGCTATGTATGGATCATATTCTTTCATTAATGTGTCTAATGGAAAGGAGAATTTCTTCAAAGGACATAGCCCAAGGAATTTGGAGGAGGCTGCATTTATTGATCATATTATTGCAAAGCTCTTTAAAGGTATGATTCAATCTAAGCTAGTTTGCCACTTTTAAATAACACGGTGCTTAGTCGAAACTAATAACTTGTAAAAATAATATGTTCCTTTACTTGCAAGATTGTGTACATGAGAATTTGATGTGCATACCTATATTAGATCGATTTATTTATTTGATTCGCCACTGTATGCAGACTATTATCGCGTCACAAACAAGAAGGTGACTGTTGGAGTAATATCACCTTACAAGGGTCAAGTAGGTTTACTTCAAGAAAAACTCGGGAAGAAATACATAAAACATAAGGAAAATTTTTGTATCAATATTCGTTCTGTTGATGGATTTCAAGGTGGTGAAGAGGATATCATAATAATTTCAACTGTTCGATGCAATGGAAATGGATCAGTTGGGTTTCTTTCGAATTGTCAGAGAACAAATGTAGCTCTCACCAGGGCAAGGTACGTCTGACTACAGATATTCTAGCTTCCGAAAACATGATCAAGTAATGTACTTTACTTTGTTAGACTGTAAACTTAATGATAGCTTTTTTATTTACTCTGGTTCAATTCTGGTATAAAACATGTAGGTACTGTCTGTGGATTGTTGGAAGCGGGAGTACTTTAGGCAATAGTGGATCGGTGTGGAAGAACCTTGTGTTCGATGCCAAAACTTTAGGGTGTTTTTATAATGCAGATGATGATACAGACTTTAACCAAGCTACATTAGCCGGTAAACCCAACTTTTTTCGGTATCTAAAACTTGAGAAAGCAAGATGGAAGGTGAGTTTCATCAGTAATAGTCTGGCTGTAATATATCCTCAGGAAAAAAAGGGCAGTACAGACTGTTAAAATCGAGTATTAAACTAGATATATGCCTATATGCAGGTTAAGTTTAGTGACGAGTTTAGGATCTCTATATCAAGCATAAACAGCATTGAGGTACAAAAGCGAGTTAAGGAAATGCTGCACAAGATCTCTGATGGCTGGCGTCAGTCCAATTCTGATGAGAAACTACTGATGAATGTCGCCGGCATTGATTATGGCGCGGCTACTGAATTGTTGGAGCTATACAAGGTTGATGAGAAGCTAGCTCTTGCTTGGACTGTTGACATTCTTAAGGAAAAATCTAATTTACACACAAGTTATCAAGGTTTGGGACGTATTACCAACTTTCAAGATTCCTAATCTTGCTCAAAATCTTAGTGTCCTGTTTGGAAGATTTACTGTGAACTTCATGAATCGTTGCAAGTACAAAAGTTTTGAAGGGTATGTATACCTTATTATATACGAAGTATATTTTTTTCGCAAATACAGTATGTTTTGAGGCAATGTCATACTTATTTTTGGCCTATATACTTGTGTTTATATGTTACAAGAACTTGGTTGTACCGATGTCATGGTCACTTCAATCGTCGTACACGGTTTATAGTACTCTTATAGCTGATACTGCTGAATGTTGCTTGACAAATCGATTAGCTGCTATGAATATAAGAGAAAATCAAGAAGACTCAAGCTCAGATATATTTTTATAACTCTGTATGTCGTTTTATGTGTATTGTTACATGTATACATTTGAACATCTTCAAATCAGAGTGAGGCGTTGTTTTTACTTTGTTCTTATAATTAAAATTTGACCATTAATATATTTTTTACATGAAAATTTTGTTGTTCTTTGGATACATGCTTATTGATTACCTCCTTAATCTTTTGTTACCTGGTCTTTTTTGCAGAAACAAGTGGAGTCGGTTCTAAATCTATAGAAAACAAAATCACAAGGCTGCTAAATAGACTTGCTTTTGAATTATTGAAGTTATAATCTAGATATTATTTTGGTGATAAAACGATTATATAAGCACTAATCATCTTGCTTGTGGACGTTACTAACTTACTATTAACTCTAAATGAAAGTGAGTATATGTAGTATATGTTGTGCGACAGCGGAAGCAAAGGTCGAAAACAAACAAGAAAACAATAAAGAAATTCAATGCAAACAATAAGAACAACACCAAGAATTTACGTGGTTCACTATCGATGTGATAGCTACATCCACGGGCACCGAGATCGAATGATTTCACTATAAACTGGCAAAGATCACAAAGATTACAATGAAGAACTTAATCACTCAAAGTATTCTCTCTCTTGTGTTTCTCTCACCATCACCCTAATAATAATAATAGGAAGTTTATATAGTATTGACTCCTAATTAGAATATACTTAGGTTACAATATCACAAAAAAGATAAATATTAAATTCGTAACCGCTGAAAACCCAGATCGCCCGATCGGGCGAAGGCCCGCCCGATCGGGCGCGAGAGCACATCTTTTCCAACAACCGAAGTACTCAAGAAACCCCTTCCGCCCGGTCAGACCGGGCAATGTCCGCCCGATCGGGCGAAGGCTCGCCCGGTCGGGCGAAGGCTCGCCCGGTCGGGCGCGAGAGCAGTTTCTTCAACGAATTTGCCAGGCACCTCTTCTTCTTCCGCCCGGTCAGACCGGGCAATGTCCGCCCGATCGGGCGGACAAAGCTACGAAGTACGAGTCACCTAATATACTTATCAACAATCTCCACCTTGACGAGAACTCGTAGTCAGCAAACAACCCCATCAAGACATAGTGAAAAAACATCTCAAGCCAAACCCGATGCAGGACTCATGCATAAGCCATACATCCCGATAAGTCTTCAACCAAGACCCATCACATACTCGTCTCCAAGTATAACAACTCATAATGCTCCACCTGCATCACAAGCCCCGGGCAAGCTCCACCTTAAGGCCAACACACCTACACCAGGAGCTCCCCAACTTCGCCCCTCAGGGGCCTACTACATCACGTAGTAATCAATATTTAGCAAGTCTAAGCAATGTTTAAACTTGCTAAACGGAACAGGCTTAGTGAAGAAATCAGCCGGGTTGTCAGCAGTCCCAATCTTCTTCACCTTAATCCTCTTGTCAGTACGCAAGAAATGATACCTGACATCAATGTGCTTCGTCCGATCATGGTGTACTTGATCTTTAGCTAAGCAAATCGCACTTAGACTATCACAATACACTGTAGCAAAATCCTGTGCAATACCCAGTTCACCTACTAGGCCTTTGAGCCAAATAGACTCCTTAGCTGCAGAAGTTAAAGCCATATACTCAGCTTCAGTAGTTGACAACGTAACTGATGACTGCAATGTAGACTTCCAACTAACCACAGAACCACCCAAAGTGAACACATAACCAGTCACAGACCTCCTGGTATCCACATCAGCTGCATAATCAGAATCACTGTACCCAGTGACCAAGCATTCCCTACCATTCCCGTACACAAGACCAATATCAGTTGTCCCTCTCAGGTAGCGAAAAATCCTTTTCACCCCTTGCCAGTGTTCCCTCCCAGGTCGAGCCATAAACCTGCTTACAACACTAACAGCATGCGCAATATCCGGCCTAGTACAGACCATAGCATACATCAAACAACCAACCGCGTTTGCATATGGAACTCTAGACATATAAGACAACTCCTCCTCTGATTGAGGTGACATAGACAAAGACAACTTACAACTAACAGTAGTTGGCGTACTTATAGGCTTCGATTTTTCCATCCCAAAACGAGACAAAATCTTTTCAATGTAGCTTTTCTGAGTCAAGAAAAGCTTACCTCTAGCCCGATCCCTGTAGATCTCCATACCCAAAATCTTCCTAGCTGCACCCAAGTCTTTCATGTCAAACTCCGAGTTAAGCATCTCCTTTAATCTAGCAATATCAGATTTATTCTTTGTGGCAACCAACATGTCATCAACATATAACAAAAGATAAATCATGGAACCATTATCCAGCTTACTATGATACACACAGCAATCATATGAATTCCTGTCAAAACCTTGTGAAACCATAAAAGAATCAAACCTTTTGTACCACTGTCGGGGGGATTGCTTAAGTCCATACAATGACTTTAGCAATCTGCAGGCATAGTGTTCCTTTCCAGGAACTTCGAATCCTTCGGGCTGCTTCATCAGAATCTCCTCCTCCAAATCGCCATGAAGGAAAGCCGTTTTAACATCCAACTGCTCCAGCTCAAGATCAAAATGTGCTACAATTGACAATAACACACGGATAGAAGTATGTCGAACCACAGGTGAGAATATCTCAACAAAATCAACCCCTTCTACCTGACTGAACCCCTTAGCAACTAGCCTAGCCTTAAAACGTATTTGCTCAGTTTCCGACAACCCTTCTTTCTTCTTGTAAATCCATTTACAACCCACAAGCTTCCTCCCTTCCGGTACCTTTACCAGTTCCCACACTCTGTTCTTGTAAAGAGACTGCATCTCTTCACCCATTGCGGCAAGCCATTGCGCAGACTCACTACAACTAATTGCTTGTTTATATGTGGCAGGTTCAAATGACTCTACATCATCAGCTACACTCAATGCATAACCTGTCATCGCATCAACACAGCAATTTCTTCCCTCCATCTCTTCAATCAATCTAACAGGCTTCTTGATAACTCGTTTAGGCATCTCAAGAATGGTGTCAGGTTGACTAGATGACCCCTGATTAGATTGCTCCACCTCATCCCCAGAGTTAGAATGAGTATGAGTAATCTCAGGTTCAGGAGTACCCGGCACTGGAACATCAGCATCATCATCAATATATTGTACCCGAGGTAAATCAGCAATGGTAGACTGATGTACCTCAAGTACCCCATCTGTCTGTAATAAATTGTCTCCTTCCCTTCTCAAATCTGAAATCTCTGCATTTTTAATTGAATACATGGTGTTTTCATCGAAAGTAACATCCCTACTAAGAATGACCCGACCCTCCGAAGGTGAAAAAATTCTAAACCCCTTCACACCATCCCCGTACCCAACAAAACACCCCTTCTTGGCTCGTGGATCCAGCTTACCCTCAATAACATGATAATAAGCAACACAACCAAAAATCTTCAAATTCGAAAAATTAGGCAACTTACCACTCCAGATCTCAAACGGAATTTTGGAATCAATTCCAGAATGAGGACCCCTATTAATGACATAACAAGCTGTTAACACAGCTTCACTCCAGTACCTCCTCCCAGGCCCTGCATTAGAGAGCATGCATCGAACTCTCTCTAGCAGTGTCTGATTAACCCGTTCTGCTACACCGTTCTGCTGTGGTGTCTTCCTGACAGTATGATGCCGACCTATACCCTCATCTGCACAGAACTGATTAAACTCGTCTTTGCAAAACTCTAGCCCATTGTCCGTTCGTAGCTTCTTGATCTTCCTTCCTTGTCGATTTTCCACCAAAGCTTTCCATTGCTTGAAAACTTTGAAGGCCTCATCCTTTGACTTAAGCAACCTAAGCCATGTGTATCGGGACTTGTCATCAACAAATGACACAAAATAGTGGTAACCTCCCATACCTTCAACTCTAGATGGACCCCAGCAATCTGAATGGATGTAATCGAGCACTGCATCAGTAATGTGAGCACCCTTGCTGAACTTTGACCTGTGTTTCTTACCAAACACACAATGCTCACAAAATTCAAGGTTGGCAACCTTGACCCCGGATAGAAGACCCCTCTTGGACAATAGCTGCATCCCCTTCTCCCCCATATGACCAAGCCTCATGTGCCAAATCTTAGTCATCTCCTGGTGAGATACAGATGCGCAAACCGCAGAACTAGGCAGTGTAACACCCTCAAAAACATAGAGGGTGTTCCTTTTGATACCCTTAAGTACCAACTCAGAACCTCTGAAAATACACAACTCCCCATCTGAAAACACACCATTGTACCCCAAGTCATCCAGGGTACCCAATGAAATCAGATTCTTTCCTAAAGCAGGAACATGCCGTACATTAGTCAAAGTTAACCTCCGCCCATCAACAGTCCTCAACCTCATGGAACCAATACCTGTGACCTTACATGGAGCATTGTTACCGACTATAACCATACCCCCATTGCGAGGTTCATATGTATCAAACCAATCTCGACGTGGACACATATGGAACGAACACCCCGAATCTAGAACCCAGTTATCAGATAAATCATCAGACCTAGCAGAACTGACTAATGCTAAATCTTCCTCTGAATTATAGCTCTCATTCGGTTTCTCTTCAACTACAGCAGCCTGGGACTTGTTTTTCCTCACCGGACAATTATTCCTAAAGTGACCCGGTTCTTTACAGTAATAACATGTTTTAGTAGTAGTTTTACTAGATCCATCCTTGCCGTTTCCAGCACCCGACCCAGCATTGTTCCCCTTGTTAAACCCCTTATTCTTTTTAGACTTTCCGGACTTAACAAACAACCCACTACCATTATCCCCATTATCACTCGTAGCTTTCATTCTGAGTTCCCTAGTATGAAGTGCTGCCTTCACTTCTTCTAAGGTTATAGAATCCTTACCAACAACAAAAGACTCTACAAAATTCTCAAAGCTAGACGGTAGAGATACAAGTAAAATCAACGCAGCATCCTCATCATCAATTTTAACATCTAAATTACGTAAATCAAGCAAAATAGAGTTAAGTTTTTCTAGATGTTCCCGTAAGGAAGTACCTGACTGCATCCGGAGGCTAAACAACCGCTGTTTCAGTAATAATTTGTTGGTCAACGACTTAGTCATATACAATGACTCCAGCTTCAGCCACAATCCAGCCGCCGTTTCCTGATCAGCAACCTCCGTGATGATTTGATCATCAAGACTAAGTAATATGGTAGAGTGTGCCTTCTCTTCCATAACTTCTAACTGCGAGTCAGTCGGTCCGTCTCCTGACTCCGAAGTAGTACTCTTTGGAGCCAACGGACGCCATATCTGCTGTTGTTTTAACAGAGCCTTCATCTTAATTTGCCATAGCCCGAAACTATTTTTCCCGGTAAACTTCTCAATTCTTATTGTTGAATCTCCTGCCATTGTTATCTTCAAGAAACTCTCCAAGGATTGAACCTGAGCTCTTGATACCAATTGTTGTGCGACAGCGGAAGCAAAGGTCGAAAACAAACAAGAAAACAATAAAGAAATTCAATGCAAACAATAAGAACAACACCAAGAATTTACGTGGTTCACTATCGATGTGATAGCTACATCCACGGGCACCGAGATCGAATGATTTCACTATAAACTGGCAAAGATCACAAAGATTACAATGAAGAACTTAATCACTCAAAGTATTCTCTCTCTTGTGTTTCTCTCACCATCACCCTAATAATAATAATAGGAAGTTTATATAGTATTGACTCCTAATTAGAATATACTTAGGTTACAATATCACAAAAAAGATAAATATTAAATTCGTAACCGCTGAAAACCCAGATCGCCCGATCGGGCGAAGGCCCGCCCGATCGGGCGCGAGAGCACATCTTTTCCAACAACCGAAGTACTCAAGAAACCCCTTCCGCCCGGTCAGACCGGGCAATGTCCGCCCGATCGGGCGAAGGCTCGCCCGGTCGGGCGAAGGCTCGCCCGGTCGGGCGCGAGAGCAGTTTCTTCAACGAATTTGCCAGGCACCTCTTCTTCTTCCGCCCGGTCAGACCGGGCAATGTCCGCCCGATCGGGCGGACAAAGCTACGAAGTACGAGTCACCTAATATACTTATCAACAGTATATGGTTATACTAGTTTCTAAATAGATGTTAGTTTGCACTTGTGGTCTTGTGACAGTGCTTCAACGTTACGTGGTGGTATGCGAATTATTTGGGAGCCCTTTTCACCGAAGAATTGCCCAATTACAATCTTAAATTTTAGAACAATACGAAAATGCTAAAGATTACAAATGTGAACAAAAGTTAGGCTTTTCTATATAACGCTTGTCCTAGCTACTACATATGCTTTTGTTATGCCCAGCATAGAAGTATCTTTATTTTAAGCCTTAGATATTTATTTAATTTAGCTTCAAGTAAGAAATGAAGTCCCTCCAACCACCCCTTTAATGCTACCGCATAAAACTAATACCAACCTCGAGATTGAGGATTATGAAATTCCTAAAGAAACAATTGTCCTTGTAAATGTTCGGGCCGTCGCTCGTGACCCAGACATTTGGCCCAACCCACTTGAATTTCGACCTGAACGATTCCTAGACGATGATGTAGACATCACGGGTCAATGGGTCATGATTTTAGTATGTTACCCTATGGAGCGGGTCGAAGGATATGCATGGGTGCACAAATGAGCATAAATTTGGTTACGTTGATGTTAGGTCATCTATTACAACACTTTGACTGATGCACACCAAGTGAAGTTAAGCCAGAAGATATTTCAATGGCAGAGATTCCAGGAGTAGTTAGTTGTATGGCCACTCCTCTATAAATTGTGCCTCGTCCAAGGTTACCATCACACTTGTACAAAAGAATATTAGTTGATATGTAATGTAACTACGGCATTAAGCACATTATATACTAGGCTATATTTCATGTTTCGTGACATTATGTAACTTGTTCACATAAATTTTTTTCCGTGAAACAATATAATAATTAAGCATATTTTGCTAAATGTGTAGTGTCATGTAACAATCACATGCACCTAGAATTAAATAATCAAAGTCGTCAAAAGTAAACCCTACTTAGTTGTTATATTATTTTAGACACTTCGAGTGTTGTTATTTAGAAAGAAAGTAAGAAAAACCCTCAAAAGTAAATGAGCCGTAATAAATGATAATAAGATACGTGTCCAATATTATACATAATATATTTATATACCCTCTGTTTCTTTTTATGAAGTATTTTTCATGTGTGGCGAATTTTTTTTTGTAAGAGAAGAATAGTCAAAGCGTAAAAAATTGAAGGAAGGGGCTAACGGAGGGAGTAGTCTCTCACGTTTGTGGCTACACATGATGGTCGTTGCAACTTGGTAGCTCATTCGGTCGATCCCTTAAAAAAATTGCTTTTGATTCTTCATGATTTACAAGAATAAATTAATTCTTCCAGATCGTTGACTAATGACTTAATTGCTTGCCTTGAACTGCAAGTCCCAGCTCAGTCCCTTAGTTACATTGAACATTATCAATTCATTTTATTAGAGTTAGATATTCTCAATTTTTTAGTAGAAAACATATTTTATTCTCTACAAAAATAATGTTCCTACAAATCTCACTTGATTCACGGATTATATAAGTTTCTAAGGCAACCTTAGGCCGTCATTCCCCATTTCATATTCACCTTAATTTAATTTATTTATTTTAATTTTTTTTTTAAAATTTTTCTCTTTATCATCAATCTTACCATTAATCATATTCGTAATGGAAGAAATTCAAGCTAACCTTATTCAATCTTCGTTAAAGCCAAAAAATACTAGCAATCTTCTTGCAAAAAGCGTGATTATTAACAAGGATGAGAGAGATGAAGAGGAAGGGGAGAAATACTACATAATAGTAACGAGTCAACAAAAAAACTTCCATCAACTTTATTTTGTAAAATTTTCAGCATTGAAAGCAAAAATCCAGAGGGCCAAGGAGTTAACCAATAAATTGCACAAGGAAAAAAGTATCATTTTGGATGAAATAGGCAATATGAAGGTATGTACATGCATCAATAAAATTGAACATTTTTTTTATTTCATGTATACACATGTATTTAAGTCTGACTCACCTATCTCAAATACTACATCCGTTTCAAATTATTTACAACAATTAAACATTTTCTACTCAAATTTTATGTTAAACCGTTGCAAATTATTTTTAGGAGGATCTAGGAGATGGAGGAGTGGTTAGTCCCTCCATCCCCCCTACCCGTGTGACGAGGGTTCAAACCTCATCCCCTCCTCCTGTGATAGGAGGCGGCTCCCCGTATCTTACTTGAAATAAAAAATAAATAAATAAATAAATTGAAATAGAGGTAGTACTAATAAACCAACTTCCTAGCTCGACATCAAAGTAGCTTACCATTAAGCTACTCTACGTCTTTGATTGACCGGTTTCTATTTTCTAAGCTAGCTTGATTGTTGTTAATTGCGGAGTAAGATATGGCAACCTTTATTGTTATTATAATTATTTGAAAGAATTTATAGTTATTATTAGTCGCTGATATAGTAATATGTAATTTTGCTTGCAGGATAGAATACTCAAAGAAAGTAAGGAGTTGAGATGGAATAGTGTGCACGGTATAAGGATTCATTTTCTTGAATGTAACGTAAGAATTGAAATTAGAGATGATGTGTTTTTTTTTTTGAAGTAATTAAAAAAAATGAATTGAAAGCATATACTTGTATATTGTTACACATACAGACATACTTGCTCACCTTCTATGTTTTATTGATAGGATTGGGATCCAGAATTGGAACCAGAACTCGAGTCTATAAACATTGATAAAAAAATTCAAAAGTTATGCTATCAATTTACTCATGGGAGTAAAAATATAGCCAATGAAAGAAGGATAATTAGCGAGTTTAAAGAATTACAAACAAGAAAGGAGAAATTTTATAAACATGACAAAACAACAAGAAATAATGTACAAGTAATACAACTACAACACCTTATTCTGGTAAGATTATAAACTTCCAAATTCTTTATATAATTTTTTTTCTTTTTGTTATTATTAGTACATAGTTACAAGTTGTTGGCATATTAGTTCTTGTGTTGGAATCCTGTTTTCTTCAAAACATGCATAATTACATTATCATCCTTTACGAGTACAAGTCCTTTACTTGTTTAGCTACTAGTAATAATTAGTTACTTCACGCTCCCTCCGTTTTTTTTAATAAGTGTTTTATTTCTCTTAGACACTAGAAAGTACCCTGTACCATTTTTAATTTAACATTTGGTGATTTTATATGTCTATTATAGGAGGGTTTGAATGAAGTGAAAAATCGACAAGAGAAAGAAAGAATAGTGAAACGAAATAAGGTTGCGATAGCAAAGGAAATTACGTCTTTGGAAGAAAAGCTAGCTAAAATTAACCAAAAGAGAGCAAAGGTGAACGAATTCATTATAACAGCCGAGAAGCAGCTTAATGATCAGGTATGAGGATTGAGGGATATGACATATAATATGGTCATTATATATTGCTTGGTAATTTAATTACAATATCCCATATTAAACATCACTATATATTTTGTGTTTTCTTCATGAACAAGATTAGTTTGACGAATTCATGTCTCAATGGAAGTATAGAGACAATCTGTTTGGAGCAAATTGTCAAAGAAGTATGATGCTATCACTTGAAGGTCTGAAGCTTAGTCATGGAGATCGAAACAACGAAACATGATAATCAATTAGAAGCTAATTTATTTAACAGCAAGATTAAAACTTCACAAGAAAAATTATTATTTGTACTTCAAACTTTTTTTTACTAAATTGTGTTAAGTTCAACTTATTAGTACAGTTTGTACTTTTTTACACTATATTTAGTAGCAAAAGTTATTCTTGTTTATGTATTTCTTCGACTCTTCCATTTGTTTTTATTTGCAACACTGTAATTTTCACGTTTGTTAATGCATAATTTCAATTACTATAATTTCAATAATTAATATCATAAAAAGTTGATATTTTAAATGTACACATTAATACGTATCTAACAAGATCACAAATAAGTTCAACAGTTAAACATGTCTAATATATGAGATTTATAGAATTAGTATGTCACACGATAATAAACTTGCACTAGAATCACACCCTTTTCTCCCAAATTTATCAAGCAATCATTTCTGAGGGGACTGGTAGCAGTCTCCCATCGCTACTCAAGCCTCAATTGGCAAGGGATTGTTGGATGCTTCGTGTATAGTTAGCTCTGAATGTGTCATCGCGTCTCCATTTAGAAATGAACTCCTTAATCTAAACATATACACACGAAAAACAAATCAAAACGTGTTTAATATGAACGGAGAGAGTACTTAGAGCCTAAGAAGGGTTTGTTCCGATTTACTGAAAACAATTGAACTAAACTGAAACGAATTGTTTATGAGATAAGGAAATTGGGAACTGAACTGAACTGATTGGAGTTGAACTAAAGTGAACTGAAATAAAGCTGAATAGAACAGGCCCGAAGAGTACTAGCTTGCTTATTAACTAACTTACACTTTTGATAGGCAATTCTTCAAGTGATTTCCAATCTTTATTATTTGCAAACTCCTGGACCTTGTCTTGTAATTTGCAATATTCATCATTTCGATCAACCTGCGAAATTACTCTCATATCAATAGGGGAAAACCTAAATTTATATATGGTTATATGGATAAACAAAAAAGTTAAAATACAAGAACAAATAGAGACAGATGGAGTATAATGTAGCATTAATACCTCCTTTATTTGGCTTTGAAGTTTTAAAATAAATGCAGTGGTCATTTCTTCCCTTTGCTTCACAACCTTGAATCTCTTTTCAAGTGGTGTAAGTTGCTTCTCTATTTGAACAATTTCTTGCTTGTGTTCTTTTTGTTTTTGTTGATTCCAAAAATATGGATATTTTTTTCTGATTTCCTTCAAAGATTCCTATGTTGAGACAACAATAGGCACAATATACTTAGTGAAAAAAAAAAAAAAAAAAGATAACATTCTTAGTTACTTAAAATTATTATCAAATGATCAAAACAATCAAAAGATTAAGCTGATGATTATTATAACTTCAAAATTGGTTATGTATATGGCAACATAGGAGAGAGTTTATTTTAATCTTACACGAATTATACGTTTCAAATCGTACTTAGATCCATAGTGCCAATACTCGTATGTTTTTGTTGGTTTCGGAATTTTAGCATTAGCTTGTTTAATTTCGGGCTCAAGTAACTCTCTCCTTCTATGTAGATGATCAAGCTCTTTGAGGACTTGTTTTTCCGATGCCCAATTGGTCTTGCCATGACCTAATTGCTCGGTCAATTTCTCAATTCTTTCCAAGATTTCAAGCAACTCTATGTCCGGGTTCGATTCCTCCTCGAGGTCCTCATTCTGCACTCGGCGATACAATTCAAGCAAGTCATACAACCATACAAACAACATTAATGGTAACTGATAGATTATGTAAATAATCTATTTATGTATATATTGTTTCGTAATTATACTACTCCGTATATACAAAGTCCGAAGTATATGGTAGAAAGACAAAGACAAAGGAAATTTAGGCAAAAGTAGAGATAAATATAGTAGCTAATAATTGTAGAAATATGTTTGAAATACTTGAATTTTATTTGGAATTACTCCTTCCAATCCTTTTTGTTCTTCCTATTTCACGATTAATAAAGGTTCAAAAACTCTTCTTATTTGGAATCAATTTTCTTCTACTAGTATATTATTTAATGAATGTATGCGCCAACATTTCATCATCTTTTTCCCTTTTCCATACATGTTAAACAATTTTCATTAATTAAACACCATGCATAATTCCAATTTAAATTCATCATTCTCATTTAATTCCCACTAATCACCACAAGGGCAGGTGATATCTCTAACCACCTGAGATATCCCGGACTCTTAGTAGTTAGTTAGAAGTGAATACATAAAATATTTATTTTGTAGGTAAGGAGTAGAAAACTACTAATCTCCATCTCATATTCTCATTGTGTATTATTCAAGTATGAAATTTCATATATAAGTTTTATTCAAACTTAAGTATAGTATAGAAAACTAAAAGTTATAATTTGATCGGATCTAAATATTTCTCGTCTAATTCTAACAAAAATAAATAATACAAAGTATTTTTTTAGCATTGCTTACAATGGTTTCAGGCCAATGCTTCCAAAGCAATTCTCGGCATTTTTCAATATTGCGGGTGCGCAGGATGTCCCAACTACCGCTATCACCAGGAGCTACATTGCTCTGATTTAATACTCTTACTTTCTCCTACAAACAATCAAAAATATGATCGAACCCTTTTATATTAATTAAAGGTGCATCTTAAACAACATGTTCTAATCCTTTCAATGTATAATGCACGTTATTTGAGGCCGTAAAATTTGAGAACAAAAAGGAACATAGGGAGTAAATACCTTTAAGGATCGTATTTTTGGAAGCAAATGTGATTTTTCCTCACGAAGTTGTTCTCTTAATTCCTTGGCTATGTTTAGGTTTGCTTCCAAATATCTCTCAACCAACGCAATCGGTTGTTGGTCATTTGATGTTTTATTTTCTGTATGTAACAAACTAACAACAAATTAATAATATAGCAATAATTATAATAATCAAATTAAAGATCAACATAATTTCTACCGATTAATTTCATATACTAGTATAAAGAATAGTACCTTCAATTTCAAACGCCATTAATTCGATAGGTTGCGATTTCTGAGTACCTTGTTTATGCCCTAGCCTTCTTGATTGATATAGTCGGCAGTTATATAAATGACACCTATGTTTCAAAAAAAAAATACTCCGTATATATATAAATGACACCGGTGTTCATTTTTCATATACCCTCATTTTAATTTTATTTTTAGGAAAAGTCCTTTTCAAATTTCAACATTGCAATTTGGCAAATTTTTATATGTGGCTGGGGTTACTCGAGTTATTCGATCAGGAGTTATTTGAGGGGTTCGATCAGGGATTACACGATCAGGGTTTATTTGAAGGGTTACTCGGGTATTCGGTCAAGAGTTACTCGGGTACTCGGTCAGGAGTTACTCGATCAAGGGTTGGTTTGGTCAGGGGCTACTTGAGGGTTACTTAGTCAGAAGTTACAGGGGTTACTCGATCAGGAGTAACTTGAATAACCACTGCCGAGTAACTCGAGTAACCCGGACACACTGTGTGAAATTAAGCTTTATTGAATTATAAATAATTGCTTCCTAATCCTTGACTAATTATTTCTTGTCGTGATCTGCAAGTCCTAATTCAACCTTTGAATTATTAAACTTAAATATCTAAATCTCAATTACTTGTTCAATTTTTTCATACATATACATATATAACTTTGTTGGGCTAAATTATCATTAATCACCCAACTTATTCAATTTTTTGTTTTCTTTATCATATCTAATGGGGCAGGTCCTAACTCGCAACCCTTTAATCTTATAGCATGTTATTTTCTTTTGTGGATCTCTCTATATTATGAGACTTAATCCCGAATATGATGCCTTGGCCTTAAACAAAGGCCGAGGTAGCTTATTATTTGAGCTACCTTGCATCCCCATCTTTCTCTAATTATTTAACATGCATGATTTACATTAGTTTGTTTATTATTTTGTGAATATGACAAACTTTATTTATTTACAAAAATAAATGTACAAATATTTACTTGTAAAAAGTTGAGGTGGTATAGTGACTACAATACAATGCGTAATCTTGAGAGATGGAAATGGGAGCTTGACGCTCGACTACGTGAGGACAATGTAAGAATTGCAAGACCTTATACAAGTATATAGCAATTTATTTGACATATAATATATTCTCTACCAACGAATTATTTATTATAAATTATGATAATTAAGAAATAATGACACGCTAGCTTTTACACCGAGTTTTAGAAAAATTATATAGGACGCTCAAACAATTATGGTAGTAGAGTTTGTTATAGAGTTAAACATTGTAACTTAAGAATTAAGAATTAAAAAATGATGGTGGATTATTTATATACGGTTTTGATAACAAAAAGAAAAATGAGTAGTATTACTCTGTATCTTACTCTCAAATTATTATTATTATTATTATTATTATTATTATTATTATTATTATTATTATTATTATTATTATTATTATTATTATATTTATTATCTTTCTTGATTCCTTTCTCTTGATAGGATTCGGACTCGTCCTCTATGAATATTGATAAGAAAATTAAAAAATTGAGCTACCAATTTACACATGGTAGTAAAAAGATAGCAAGTGAAAAAAGGATAATTAAGGAGCTTAAAGAATTGCAAAGGAGCACCGAGTTTTTACTATGTAATCATGTTGAAACAACAAGGTGCTCTAAAAAATTTATATAGCAATGTATTCAGGTAAGACCTTGAAATTATAAGCTTAAGAATTCTTTTATCTTTTGTTATAACTTCTCCCGTTCTATAATAATTGATACAATAGTCAAATTTGACATATTTGCTAATGTGCAGGCTACTTTGACCCTAAATATAAGTAATTAGTCTAATTACACATTAATTAAAATTTTAAAAAGTACAAGTACAACGAATAGTTTTATAGTTAGAAGTTACATGGTACATTCGTACATTCCAAGCATGTAGCTAATTAGAATTTTACCTTGTAATTTTGAAGTCACAAAATCGATTTCTAATTAACATGCAAGTTACATTAAGTGTCTAACCCATAGATCAGAGATAGTGGAGATAAAAAGATCATCATGGTAAGTCATGGTCTGGCCTACTCATTTGTACATTGAAAATTTCCTTAGCTTGCTCAAGTCAATACTACTACGTAGTTGTTGTTGCGATAAGTTGACTAAGTACATTATTGCAACTTGCTCATGTTGACTAAAAGTAATTCCTGATTATATATTTGACCATTTTTCCCGAAAAAAAAAAAGGGAGAGAGAGAGAGAGAGAAAAGAGGAAAAAAAAAAAAACCGTTATTTGATGATTCTTTATTTTTTTTTCTATATACCTATTGTAGAAGGGTTTGAATGAACTAAAAGATGGACAGGAGAGAAAAAGAAAAGTGGAACAACAAAATGATGAATTAGCAAAGGAGATTATGTCATTGGAAGAAAAACTAGTTGAAATCAACAAAAAGAGAGTTAAACTGAATGAATACATTTTAATTGCCCAAAAGCACCTAGATGATCAGGTACATTTAATATGTACTTTATATAATTCCATTTTCTTATCCTCTTAGCTTCAATTTTCATACAATAATTGTAAATACGAAGTACTACTTTACAGTAATTATCTATAACGTAACTTATAACAAATGACGTGATGATCTCAAATTAAGTTGTACGTAACATATTGTTTGATACAATACGAAACTACTATTTCATGCCAAGGAGCTTGCGACCAAGAAAAATTTTGTAGCACTTGGAGAATTATGCCCTAAACAGGTTTACTACCTTTTCCAAGTAAAAGATTTTCAATTTCTTACAATCTTTCCAATTGGAAAAATTAATAATGTCTCAGTATTGCTTGTTTAAAATCTTTAATATATTTTCTTATGAACAAAATTAGGTTGAGGAATTCATGTCTCAATGGAACAAAGACAATCTATTTAGAGCAAACTACAAAAGAAGATTTACCAAAAAAAAAAAAATACAAAAGAAGTATGATGCTATCAATAGAAGTCTCGAAACTTAGTCAAATCTTGAATATCAAAACGTTGAAACTTGGTGATCCGACACATGGAAAATCATAAATTGTACCCTTTAAATATAAATTGTCTTACACACGGTATACTCTTGATCTTAACTTGTTAGATTGATTTCAATATGTACTTCCAAATATCTACCTTTGTATAATAATTACTAACTAATATGTTGATATATATAATGAATGATAATATTGTATTAGTTTACTTGAAATTTCTTTAGAATTATTTGATTGTTTCGCTATTGTATGTATTTGTTAATTTCTAAGGTTAAATTACTTATATATTCCGACTTGACTTAATTTTGCTGATTTAAATTAACTCAATATTAAGTGAATTCAAATTATTTTAATTGAACTTAATTAACTTTGTATAATTGATAAATATCGTATTTTTTTTTTTAAAGGACCAAGCAAAGTGGCCTGGAATAGATAATGGAATGAATTGCTTAGATTGCGCTCATTACAACGCAAGATACAAGTCTAGCATATCGGAAAATAGTATACTTGATATATTTAGCATTTTAGCTAGCTAACTTAGGCTAATGTTTGACATTTCTAAGATACAAAAGATAACTCAAATTTATAGAATCTTAAGAAAAAATCAATCAATCAATCAAAGTACCTCTCTAATAACTATGTATCCATATCCCCAATTCCCCACTAACCTCCCCGTTACCTATCAAGATTATCTTTCTTTTCAAATATATATATATATATATATATATATATATATATATATATATATATATATATATATATATATATATCATGTATTAACACAGGTGCATTCTAATACAAAGTACATTATAACAATCAAAGAAATTTATGTATCAAGTATTCAAATGCATTGAATACAAGAGCGAATCCTATGGTCACAAATCTTGCATTCTTGCTAGTTCCTAGCTAGAAACGAATACTTCTCTAATTTTAATACTTTTGACAAGCCAAAACTCATGACTAACAACTATGTTATTGCCATTTTCTCCCCTATATTATGCAAGCTTAGTTTCTCTAACAACCTTGAAAAATGGCTATTCTACTATTTTTCAACCTATCAATGATCATCTTAATCATCCTCTTAACATGCAACATCATCATCCAACGGCTCAAATTCAACCTCCCACCGGGCCCAAGGCCGTGGCCCATTATAGGAAACCTTCATAAAATTAAGCCAGTCCAATTTTGGTGTTTCTATGAATGGGCTCAAGTTTACGGCCCGATAATATCGGTGTGGTTCGGGTCCAAATTGTTTGTTGTGGTTTCAAGCTCAGAGTTGGCTAAGGAAGTGTTGAAAGAGAATAATCAAGAGTTGGCTAATAGGATTAGAATTAAATCCAAATTAAACTTTGCTAGAGATGGGATGGACCTTACTTGGGCTGATTACGGGCCTCATTATGTCAAGGTTAGAAAAGTTTGTACACTTAAATTATTTACTAGTAAAAAAATTGAGGCCTTTAAGCCTATTCGAAAAGACGAAGTCACCGCCATGATCGAGTCTATTTACAAAAGTGCCACAGGCTATTTAGGTATGTATTTATGCTTAAAGTTAACTTGTTTCTGTAAGTTGTAAAGAAAGCTGTAAAGGCAATGACGTATACAAGATTCGATTAATGTCTTGATTATCATCGCTCAAGACTTTCATCAACTAAGTTGATTGACAATTGAGTATGTAGTTAGGTACTTATTATCCTAGATTAAAACCATGTCAACTCAATTTGTTGATTTTTTCAGTAGAAAATCATGAGAAAGGTGCTCTAACACTTAGGACATACGTGGGAGAAGCAGCATTAAACCACATAACAAGGATAATATTGGGAAAGAGATTTATCAATTCCGGAGGTGAATTTGAAGGGCAATTAGGAAGGGAATTGATGAACATTTTACTTGAGTTGAACAATTTTAAGAGGACAAATATGTTAATGTTGGGCATCCAATGGTTGCAACATATGTTCGAAGATCAAGTCTTGAACAAGCATGAAGATCGCTTGGGAAACTTTATGAAAAGGTTCATGGAGGACGATAACAAGCTTCATTTTGTAGATGCTTTGATCTCATGTAAGGACAAGTATGGTCTTAATGAAGAGACTATCATTGGACTCCTTTGGGTAAGTTTGTACTCTTTTCGTCCCTAAATGTTATTCTTACTTGTAGAACGCTTTTTATTAGTTAGTACAACATAACTGGGTATTAAATTATAGGCCTACTTTATTGATACACTTTTAATTTGTTGTTTGTAGGATATGATTATTGCTGGTAAAGATACAATAGCTATAGTAGTGGAATGGGCCATGGCTAAACTAGTAAGACATCCAAGGGTCTTACAAAAGGCCCAATATGAATTGAACAATGTAATTGGACAAGAAAGAATTATGATTGAAGAAGATTTCCCAAAACTTCCTTATTTACAAGCCATAGTCAAGGAGGCCCTAAGGTTGCACCCTCCAACCCCGCTATTGCTACCTCATCAAGCCCAGACCCATGTCAAGATCGGTGGCTACAACGTGCCTAAGGATACAATCGTCTTTGTGAATGTTTGGGCCTTGGGTCGTGACCCATCTGTTTGGCCCAACCCACTTGAGTTTTGGCCAGAACGGTTTTTTGAGAACGACGTTGACATAAAGGGTCATGATTTTCGGATGTTACCATTTGGGGCGGGTCGCCGGGTTTGCCCGGGAGCACAATTAGGGTTAAATTTGGTTACGTTGATGTTGGGACATCTTTTGCACCACTTTGATTGGGATATTCCTATTGGAAATCAACTTGAAGTGATCAATATGTGTGAGGCTCCGGGAATTGTCACTTATATGGCATCTCCTTTGCAACTTGTTCCACTTCCAAAGTTGCCAAGACATTTGTACAAACGAATTTGTACACATATATAGTCTCGGGAACATATTACAACGGATTTACATTGTCTCTCTTTGACAATGATTTTCAATTGGTTGAGTCCATTATATGGACTTTATCTGGTATTAGTGGTATAAATATATAAACTAAACAATAACAAAAAATACGATTATACCATGCAAAGAATTAATCGGTAAAATTAACTGTTGTCTGTTGATCAATATCAATCAATAAAACCGATTATCAACAAAAAATTAATTTTTAAGAAAATCAATGTAAAATAATTCAGTATAAATAATACGAAGTATAAGGAGTCAGCAGAAGCTGCGACTTGTAGGTAAATAATGTTTATTTGGTCAAAAACTTTTGTATACATCCGATATACGGTAATATTACTGTACATTGAGGTAACTTTTGTTAAATTTAGGGTAATTTTTGTTGAATTTAGAGTAACTTTTATCCATAAAGCTTAATACTTTTATTTATATCAGAATAACTTATATATACTTGGTAACTTTCATTCATTATAGAGTAATTTTTTATCATTTTAAGGTAATTTTGAAGCGGATGTACAATATTTTATTGTACATCCGATTTTTTAAAATGTTTGTCTTATTTGGTAAACTTTGTTAACTGATGAAACCAAGGTAAATTATTACAACTCGACCTCCCAACCTAAACCGAAAAAGACGATACCCAAAGATAAACATACACCTACATTTATATGGAAAACAAATATGTATTTACCTGTGATGAGAAACATTTTCCAGTCAAATAAATAGTGCAGTGGTGATTGGGGCTGCACTTGGTAGGGGGGATCGTGAGTTCGATAACCAACAACAACAATTAGGAGAGGACTGAAATCTAACCACCCAAAACTAAGTCTGAATCTGAATTAGCCCAAAGGATGAACTGGGTAATAACACACACACACAAAAAAAAAAAAAAAAAAAAAAAGTCCTTAGGATTTTTTTAGGGGGTTGTTAAATCTCGCCCTCGAATCTCCGACTAACGCCCGCAAATAAAATTTATTTTACAAATTTACCCTTATATAAGATAAAAGAATTTACCCCCCAAACACAATTTACCTCCCAAAACCCTCACTCCCTCTTCTCTCTCTTAACTACCCACCACCACCTCCTCTTTTAACCACCCACCACTGCCTCCTCTTTTAACCACCCACCACCGCCTCCTCTTTTAACCACTTACCACCACGTCCTTTTACCACCCACCACTACCACCACCACGTCCGGTTTCTCAATCTACACAGTAAGCCGCAAAAATGACGAGGAAGGACAAGGGAAAGGCCGTCGTCGAAGGAATCGCCGGAGACAAGGTCAGTTTATTTTTTTTTTATTTTTTTTTCTAGAATTGGCGGAAACGCCCAATTTTTTCGCCAGATCTGGGCTGAAACGCCTAGAATTTTCGTTCACCCATATGGTTATTCGAAAAATCTAGGCGTTTCAGCCTAGATCTGACGAAAAATTTAGGCGTTTCTGCCCTTTTTTTTTTAAAAAAAAAAAAAATCGTATGAAGTTCATCTTCGATTTCATCTAGGCTGATTTCGTATGAAGAACTCCCAGCCGAATTTCATATTTGATTTTGTTTCTGCCCTTTTTATTATTATTGTTGTTGTTGTTGTTTATTATTGTTTTTGTTGTTGTTTATTATTGCTAACAGTGAAAATGGAGGTTCCGACGAGAGACTTGGCAACATTGTTGGAGCTCAAAGCGGCGTTTTGCAGGGGTTTAGCTTGTCCGACGGAGGCGAATGGAAGAGAGGTGGTGCGCGCACGAGGTGTCGGCGGAGAGAGGGTGGAGAGTAAGGTGCCGGCGAGTCGGCGGGTGTCGTCGAGGCGAGTGGTGAGGTCGGCGCCGAGGCGGTGGATGAATGTGGAGAGTGATAGTAGTGGATTAGTGGTATGGCCACCGGTTGTTGGTGTTGGAGAGTCCATTCCTATTGCTGAAGTATTCAACGTTATAATTAATATTTTTATAACAAGGCTACGTACGTCATTTTAGGTTATTTTGCGGGCATTAGTTAGAGATTCGAGGGCGACATTTAGCGGTCCACTTTTTTTAAAAGGATAAATTTAGGTATCTCATGAGTCAAATATGGTATATTGGTTTTAGGGTTTTTTCTTTCTTTCTCTCTTTTTTGTTTCCCCCTAAACCGTCTTCCAAATCCGTTGACATATACTACCTATACAGATACCGTCTAGGCGACTATTCAATTAGCTTAGGAAGGCTAGGGCATATGAAGTTACTTGGGAATTCCAAGTAATCAATGGCGTTTGAAGGTATCATACATTAATTAAACTCCGATTATGATTCATCCTTTTGCTATTATATAATGTTGACAAATGTAATAAATTGATTTTATCTTTGATTATATCATAATATTTATTAATATGATATCGTTATATATGTTTGCAGAATTGCAAGAAAATAAAAAATTAGGTGATGTTGATGATCAACAACCAAATAGGTTAGTTCATCAATTTTATTTTGCCAAAATAGGGAGATATTACCTAAATCCTGATTTGGAATTGGGACTAAATATAGCCAAGGAGTTGAGGAAACAACTTTGAGAGGAGAAAACATGTTTGTTTAATAGAATACGACCCTTAAAGATACTCCGCCTCATTCATACGTATTTTCTTTTTGTTTTTGTCTTTACTCTAATAATTACTAGCTATTAGCTTTATTTAACAAGCAATCTCATGGAATTTATATTAGAAATTGTTTAAATCTTTACACTTTAATTTTGCAATTCATCAATATCTTACTTATTACTTCGTGTATATAGAAAATTATATACTACTATAGATTTGAAAATTATACTCCAACAAGAGTTAAATAAGAATTTTTTGACTTATTTATAAACATTTCAAGAGTAAATAACATTTTTTTTTTCAGGAAAAATTAAATTTATTGAACCCAGACAATAAATTTAATGGAAGAAATAGATATTATCGCCATTACATTTATGATATCAAGAATTACCGAAGATTACTGTTGAAGCATTGGCCTGAGGCAATTGTAAGCAATACTAACTAGTTTTATTTTTATTTTATTTTTCGTCAATAAGAGAGCCACATAATGCAATAATCTATATAAGTAATGCTCAATCCTTAATTATCTAGCGAAATGATTACAATAATCTCACTTTTTTTAAAGTTGTTTGATATGATATACTTTATATATACTTGCATTTCAAATTTTGTGAAATTCTACCTATAAAAAATATATTGCTCCCTACGTTCCATAATATAGTTTTTGTTTGTGTTTTGTCACAGTATTTAAGAAATAGGAGGAGAAAGTTGATGAAGTACATCAATAAAAGTGAAAACTACAATTATAGACAAAAGTTGGAGAGAGAAAGTGGAAAAAAGTACAAGGTGTGAGCAAAATTTAAGGGTAATGTCGGAAGTACAATGAATAAAGTAAAAAAAATGAGAGTATAATGGTCTTTACATACTATTCAAAATAAGAAACAGGAACAATATTTTGGGTCTCCAAAAGAGGAAATCAGGAACTATATTATGGGACGGAGGGAGTATAAGAATTAGTAAATGTTTTAAATAAGTTAATTAAATTCTGTATAGACACTTATGTATGAAGTCAAAAGTGTAGATTGGCCTGTTCTGTTCACTTTCAGGTGTAATGAGTTGGATAAGTTCAGTTAAGTTCATCTCAAGAAAAGTAAGTTTATCTAATAAGGGTACCCAACAAGTACAAATTACAACTAAAATAAGTTTCTAATAAGTACAAATTACAATTTTTTTTTGAACCATTAGATTTAATGGTTTTGTTGATGGCAAGTGGTAAAAAAACAATTATAACTTTTTTTTTTTTTTTTGGTGAACCATATCTTGAATTTTTTTTATGGTAAAATTATATATTATGAAGTACGTAATATTACTCGTATTGTACAATTAATTTACGGATTTTTCACCAAATACCCCAAAATTTTAACATAATTCACCAAATAACACCAATATTTTTCATATTCACCCTATCCAGACACCCCCCCTGCCGGCACAGAATCCGACCGGAACCCTCGCCCCAGCGCGGAATCTGACCAAAACCCCCCGTCGGCGCTCTTTTTCTTCCCCTGACCATTGTGCCCGAATCTCCCACAAAAAAACCCTCACCTAACCACCGTGCCCGCATCTCCCTCAAAAATCCCATCTCCCTCGAAAAACCGTCCCCTAACCACCGGCTGGCGCCCAAACCCCTCTCCCTCGCGTCGACGAACAAAATCGCTCCGTCCCGCTGCCATCTCCACCCTACTGAACCACCACATACGCCGAAACCTTAAAATATTTTGGTGTTTCAAGGTTTCGTGGTGGTGGTTTTCAGCAAGTTGGGTGGCTGCAACGTGTGGGAGAGGGTTTGGGCTACCAGCGAAGGGGTTGTCGGCTAAGATGGAAAGGCAGAGAGGGGTTGAATTCGGCGAAGGTGATGGCTGGGGAATTCGACTAAGGTGGTGGCTGGGGTCAGGGTTATCCCCGGCGGAGGAGGAGGATGATCGTCGGCAGCCGGGAAGTGGCTGGGGTTGGGATTGTCGCCGGCGGGGGCGGCGGTGGCTTTTATTGGTGGTGTTTTTTTTTTTTTTTTAATTTTTTTTTCTAAAGTTAATTAATTAAATAAATAATATTAATAAGGAACCAATTACAAGCTACCATGTGGCACAACTAACGTTAATGATTTACTGAGTTAACGGTAATGGCATGTTGTGACATTTTCATAAAACTTAATGTTATATGGTGAACTTGAAAAATGTTGGTGGTATTTGGTGAATTATATTAAAACTCAGGGATATTTTGGTGAAATATACGAGTACAGTCAATGCTTAGTTTAGTCTGGATTATATTCTGTGATATATATGGTTATATGTTGGTTTAGTAGGTTTCTTCTTTTGCTTATAGCTTTCTACCATAGTAATCACAATAATGGTTTTATACATCGAGTATAGAATGAAAACCTCGAAGAGGAATCCAACCGGGACATAGAATTGGCTGAAATCATTGAAAAAATTGAGAAATTGAGAGTGCAAGTAGGTCATGGGAAGACTAATTGGGCGACCGAGAAACAAATCCTCAAAGAGCTTGAACCTCTTGAAAGAAGGAGGGATTGTTGAGCCTGAAGTTAAACAAGCGGAAGCTAAAATCCCGAAAGCAACAACTAGTCATGAATATTGGCCCTATACCGGTTATGGTTATGGTTGTTTTAAGTAAGATTTGAAACGCAAGATTCGAGTAAGATTTTATACTCTCTCCTATTCTATGTACTCTCTTTGAATTCTAATACTTACAACATACTGTAATTGAAAACTTCATATGGCCAAGTAATTCCTTTTTTTTGAGAAAGTATATATACACGTGTAGTAGAAGTTAGGTCTATCTTACTAATTGTATTGAGCTTTCTCTTTGTCACAACAATATAGAAATGTGTGAATAGACTCAGGGAAGAAGTAGATCCAAACTATGGGAATGAACAAAAACAGGCAGAAGTTGAACAACAAATTGTTAAAATACAAAACCAACTTACACCTCTGGAAAAGAGGTACGACATTGTGAAGCAAGAGGAAGAAAAGGCCACTACGTCCATTTTGAAACTTCAAATTCAAATGAAAGAGGAGGTACTATATTAAACTATATATGCTACATTATACTTTCGATCATATATTTTAGTATATAATTATATAGATAAATCATGTGCTCATAGACATACGTTAGAAAATCCCTTTATTTATAGATACAACACTTTTTCACGGTTGATATGAGATTATTTTAAACTTGCTAATATAGTTATATACACTTGTTCATTATGACAGCTTGCTCTTAAAGAATAAATTTTGCAAACTACGAGAAAAGGTCAAGGAGCTTGTAACAAAGAAAGATCTGGTATCACTTGAAGAATTATCTTGCAAAAACGTTAGTTACACAACTAATCTTCATTCTTTGGCCTTTTGATTAAGCTCCCATTCTTATTAAGTGTACGTGTTGTTTGATTTGTTTTTCGTGTACGTTTACATACATGTTTAGAACGAGGAGTTCATGTCAAGATGGACACGCGACGACACATTTAGAGCTAACTATGCAACAAGCGTCCAACAATCCCTTGCCTATCGAGGCTTGAGCAACGATGGAAGACTGCAAGACCTCTTGGAAGTGATATAGCTACTTGACAATCTTGGAGAAATTTGTGCAAACCTATTTTTAACTTTAATTACTTGTACAAGTCTGTTATTGTATGATATATTAGCTAGGTTGCATGAATTTGAAACTGCATGTATGATAATTTATAGGTTCTAGATAATTTCCGACCATGCTCGGTTTTTAAAATTAATTAGTATTGAAATGTAAAAGTCTCTAGATTATAAAGATTTCATTCCATGATTGTATAATGTTGTTTGGAACAATATACAACCATCAATCAGTCAAATAAAGGCTTGTGGTGACATTGAAATCAATGAAAGGAGGCGTATAACTAAACGGTTAAATTGACTAATGGTTTATTATGGGTTGAAATAATTAGCGAGTCGGTTTGGGTTGGTTTTGAAAATCATCGGGTCAGTTCGGTTTGGTTTTTTTTTTTATTGTGGTTTCTATTCGGGTCCGATCCTAATCGGGTCGGGTTGTAGTTGGTTCGGGTCATAATTAGTTTGGGTTGAAGTGGGTCAGTTTGAAAACGGATTTAGCCAGTTTAAAGTAGGTTTCGGTTCAAAACAATTCGGGTACTAATCAGGTCGGGTTGTAATCGGTTTGGGTCATAATCAGTTTGGATTAAACTGGGTTGGTTTGAAAATGGTTTGTTTCAAAACATATCGGATGAAATCGGGTCCGGTCATTATCTGTTCAGGTCATAATCAATTTGTATTGAACTTGGTCGGTTTGAAAATGGGTTTACACAACTTAAAGCGGGTTTTTGTCCAAATCGTATTGGGTTTAAATCGAGTCGGATCATTATCGAATCGAGTTAGTCAGATAATGGGTAGGAACGGGGCATTTATAATCAACTTAAGTCATAAATAAGTTAGGTTTATCGAGTAATGGGTTGAAAAGGATCATATCATAAACATATTGGGTTACGGGTTGTAAACAACTCAGTCATAACAGGTTACTGGTCGTAAATGGTTCGGTCTCAACGGGTTACGGGTCGTAAACCGTTTGGTCTCAACGGGTTATGGGTTGAAAACGGTTCGGTCACAACGAATTACGGGTAATAAATGGTTCGGTCACAATGGGTTACGGGATGTGCCGGTTTAGGTTTATCGGATATTTGCTGGGTTTAAACGGTTTTCGGTTTAAAATGGGTCGGGTTACTATCGGGTTCAGACGTAATCGGTTTGGGTTGTTGTCAGTTTCGGGTTATAACGGTTTGGCTTGATAATGGGTCGGGTTAGTAACGGTTCGCAGAAATTCGGTTCAGTTCAATTTCGGGTCGAGTCGGTTTTCGATTTCCAAAAAATGGGTATTTAACGGTTCAGTTCCTTTTCGGATCGGTTCAAAACAGTCGGATTTAACGGTTCGGGTTAGAAACTGACACCTCTAATAATGATGTTAGGAAGTTATCTATTTCTTCGTTTATTTTTTCTCATGTGAAAAGAGCCGGAAATATCGTAGCTCATTGTGTTACAAGATGGAATGCCTACGATAACTTAGAACGTGTTTGTTTGGACAATTTTCCCTAAAATTTAATGACTTTGACGGAGCTTGATTTAATATAATTCTTCGGCTAACTTTTCCTATAAAATATATGATAAAATATATCATCTAACTTTTCCTATAAGGTATATAAAAAATAAAAAATAAAAAAAATCTTAACATTACCCCGTATTAAATTGGTGTCATTAATCTTCCTGTAATGTAATCTTTTCTGACCTCTTTTGGAGCTTTTTTACTTTTATTTACGCTGCACTCACTCTCTCTCTTTCTCCTCCATTGAAGCGTACTCTCAGCTTTCTCTCTATTCAACCGACTTTGTTCTTCCTTTCCTCCATTGAAGCATCTTCTAAGGTAAGATGTTTTCCTTTTTTCTTTTTAAATATTGAATTTCACTATCTAGGGTTTAATTTCGCGTTTTTTTTTAAATTTAATTGGTTGTTTAATTAAATTAGGGTTCTTTTAAACTGATTAATTAAACTATTGGTTATTATTACTGAAGCTGTCAATGCCTATACGAGCGATTTTTGTTGCTAGGATTTTGCATTGTGCAATTTACGTTGAGTTTTCTAAGCGAAAGCAATTTTATTTGAGCCTAATTTGATAATTGAATCGAATTTTAATTGAAAATTTGCAATTTAGGTTGATATTTATCGAGCCTAATTTGATATTTGAGTTAAATTTTGTTGCTAATATGTGAAATTTGCGTTGATAATTTTAAGCGAAAGCAGTGTTATATGAGCTTAAGTTGATAATTGAATCGATTTCAATTGAAATTCAATTTACTCTGATATACAAGTATATCTTAGCAAGAACAATATTATGTGATTTTTCAAGCCTGATTTGATATTGAGTTAAATTTTGTTGCTAATATGTGCAATTTGCGTTGATATACTCTTAGCGAGAACAATTTATGTGATTTTTTGAACCTTATTTGATTATTGGGTCAAATTTGGTAGCTAATGTGTCGTATTTATTGAGCCTAATCGAGCCCACAATCCTAGTCCGAAACTTTTTAGGCTACTAGAGCCAAGCCAAGTTTTGATTGAGGCTTGTCTAGATTCGTGCTCCAGTCGATCCTACTCCTATTTAGGCTGTTTTCAAGGATTGCATCCCTAATTGAATTCTCTCATTGAAGTTAGGGGATGTTTTTAATTGGCTGTAGTCATATTTGCATTGTTAGGGGATGTTTTGATGTCAATATCTACAAAATTGAAGTTAAAATTGATAGCTGGAACATAATTGTCGTTTCTTTTCTTGTAGCTATCCGTAGATATAATATTTATACTTTTATGCTTTGGTTTATGATCATACTTCTGTTTAATATAACCTGTTCCTGGTGTCCTCTGATTTCTGTACCCTGCGTTCTGTGATTCCTGTTGTAACTAGTCATTATACGAAGTATTTTCTTCAAAAAAAAAAAAAAAAAATCATTATACAAAGTATGTCAATAACTTATAATGTCTTCGTCAAATGTCTGTGGCCTCTATGCAAATAATTCTGTAATCAAATTCTTTTGTTGCCCTAAATATTAACCTTTTTGTTGATGCATCAATGTTTTAAGTACTGTAAACTCTGGAAGTTATGTGGATTGACCTTAAAGGATTTGTGTTATCTGAAAGTTATCCTATTTAGTTGACAGAAAAGTTGGATCAAATTAAATGAAACCCTAGACATTGTTAAATTTATTACTTATTATAGACTGTAAAATTTATTATTGTATTCGTTTTCACGTGCTTATTATAGACCTAAAAGCCTTTTTTTGACATTGACAGTTAACAGTTTAGTGATTCAGATATGAATAATTAGACTATGAGATGATTTTGGCTGAATGTTATACGATATGTCCTTTCATAGTGATATTGTTGATTTGTTATAGCTTTCAGTTTTTGCATGACGTATCCTTGAAGCTTCTTCAACAAAAGTTCAACTTTGTTGATATAGTTTTTGTTAAAGGCTTTTTGGTGTTGATATGTCTTCTAGCTCCATATCATGTTGGATCAATTTTGTGAATTTAACTATTAATTATTAACCTTTACATGTCCGTAATTTGAAATTTGTATCTTTACGGCTTCATTTTTCGTATTTTTGCTGTTTATAGCTCACCACCAAATTATTCTCACAAATCACAGCAGTCATGTCAGAGGCAGACTTGGAGAACATGCTCTTGGAGGCAGCAGGACGAACAGGTGCATCCAAGAGAAATAAACAGTCTCATCCAACTTCCAAAAGACGGCACAAGGGTTCGTATTCAGATGATGGAAGTGATTCCAAGGATGATGAGTCAGATGATAACCATGGACATGCTGGTAAAAAGCTGTCTGGGTCTCAAGTTCCTTTAAAAAAAAGGTCAAAGAATAGAAATGATGATCCCGGTAGTGATGATATGGATATCAAAGGTGGAGGATCTGATCGTGAAGTTGATAGCAGTGATTCTGATGTTGGTAGTGACCTTTACAAAGATGAAAATGATAGGGAGGAACTTTCAAAGTTGACAGAACTTGAGAGGGAGATGATCCTGTCTGATAGGGCTGCAAAGATAGATGATAGGAAATTACATAAACAGATGCGATCAAGATTGAGCAGTGATAAAAAGTCCCAATCTGCGAAAGACATCTCACCTCCTGCTTCTTCTCGTGGAGTGCGTTCTTCTATCAGATATGCTGATCGTTCAGCGGCCAAGGCTGATGCCTTGAAGGAATTGAAAGCTAGACGGATGAAGCGGGATCCAGAGGGAAAGCAGAGAGGGACCCATGAACACCGTGCTTCCAGGGAATACTCTCCAAAGAAGAGGAAAGGTGTTGGTTCTTCTAGCTCAGGTAGCTCTAGTGAGAGTAAAAATGGAAGTGATTCTCGCAGTGATGATGAAGGGTCGACAGGAGGTGGCAGAATGGACTATAGTGATGAAGATAGAGACAGTACTATCTCCAATACTCCAACATATGAACAGATAAAGAATATTACTATCAGGAGGTCGAAACTGGCAAAGTGGTTTATGGAACCATTTTTTGAGGAGTTGATCATCGGTTGCTTTGTCAGGGTTGGTATTGGGATGAAGGATGACCGAAGCATTTACAGGTTATGTATGGTTCAAAACATTGATGCTTCAGATCCAAACAGAAAATATACGCTTGAGAATAAGACAACCCATAAGTACCTAAATTGTGTGTGGGGCAGTGATCGTTCTGCTGCAAGGTGGCAGATGGCTAGAGTTTCTGACTCTCCACCTACTTTGGAAGAGTTTAATGAATGGAGAAGAGAGGTGGACCGTAGTGGTGGTCAAATGCCACACTCTAAAGAAGTTTTGGAGAAGCAAGATGCTATTGATAAAATAAATGGTTTCGTTTACTCAGCTGAAACAGTGAAACAAATGTTGCATGAAAAGAAATCGGTCTCAGCCAGGCCGATGAACATTGCAGCTGAGAAGGAGAAATTGAAGAGAGAGTTGGAAATTGCGGAGTACAAAAAGGATGCTGATGAGGTTGAAAGAATCAAAACCCGACTAAAAGAACTTGAAAAAGCCAGACAAGGCCAAGATTTAGATAAAAAGGCACTTAAGCTTGCGGAAATGAACAAAAAGAATCGAGCTGAGAATTTCCGAGTTTCTTCCTCGAGAACAGCAGACCGGAGTTTGAATCCTGGAGATGCTGGGTATGACCCTTTTTCAAGAAGATGGACTAGATCTACAAACTATTATGCAAAGCAGGAAGCTAAGCCTGCAACAACTGGAGTAGGAACAGCTGAAGGAGTTAATGATGTCAGTGTATCAAACACTGAGAAGAGCAAGAGCAGTGATGCCAAGGATGCTACAACTGCAGCTTTGGTGGCTGCTGCTGGAGCAGGCAAATTGGTGGATACAAAAGCACCAGTGGACCAAGGAACAGAGTCAAACACACTGCATGATTTTAAGCTACCCATTTCTCTGTCTTTGTTAGAGAGTTTTGGGGGGGCATATGGGGCAGCAGCTGCCTTTTTGGCCAGAAAACAGAAGATTGAAGCTAATATAGGTTGCCAAGTTCCAGTAGACGACGGAAGAACACATCCACTGACTCTTTCAGTGGGTGACTATAAGAGGAGGAGAGGGTTGCTTTGAAAAACTTCTCTTTTGGTTCTTCTGTAGTTCAGATTTGGCCTCCTGTACTCAGTAAGTTTTAATGTTTTATGCAAGTTATCAGTAGCTCATTAGGTAGTTTTTACGGTACTAGCTGTATGAAGTTTCCTGGTTGCATTGATGTTTTTCCAAGATACAGGACTGTAATGTGCAATCAGAATTAGTTTCTTCTGTTCAATTGATTAGAACTCGTACTACTTCAGTTTTGAGAGTTTAATTTTCAATTGCCTGCTTATTGATCATGAAGGCTCTGTTATAAAAAAGTCAAGCTAGTTATTTGCAGTTTGGGTTTAAGTACTTATGAAACTTTAATTATCAGCTAATTTAAGAACTGGAGTATACATAATCTAATAAGAGAGTATCCAAAGCTTAGATACTTTAAGCCCCCACACATAACATATTGAAGTGGTCAGACAATGATGAAAGTTTGTTGGCCTAAAGTATAAACATGTGACATGCGACATGTTGTATATTCTTGGTGGAAATTTTTTACTGTATTTATGGTGGTTTTTGTGGGGAGATCTATAATAAGATAGTCAGCTTTTAACAGAGAAGACATTGATATTGCATGGTATATGACATATTTGTATGGGACAACTTTGGAGTAAAAGAAAAGGGTGTTCTATATCACTTCTATCAAATATATTGTCCACTTTTCATTTTAATAATCTTTTATTTCATTTTTATACCTTTATTGACAAAATTTTCATACATAAGGTTGGCTATTATATTTGGTGTTAAATTGTTATTTGCAATTATTGTCGGCTTAATTTGTCAAAAAAAAAAAAAAAAAAAAGCAAATTTATTCTATGAACCTATGTTGGATTACACTAATTGTAATCTCAGATCCATGTTTAACTTATTGAGCTTTGTCACCTTATACAACTAATTTATCCACAAAAGAAAAATAATTACTTTTCAATTATCCTTTCCATTTTAGTTGATACATTTTGACTTTAAACATTTTTATTTTAATATTTTTTTATTATTTTTTTTACGGGACTTTGAACAATATATATACTTGTATAAGTTATTTTGGCTTTTGTTTTTTCTGTTTTTAAGAAAATAAATATAGCCATGTGAGGTATTGTCATTCTTTTCCATGTCTATTTTTCAAATGTTTAATTTTTACAATTTTGCTTATTGATGATTACAGATATTTACTTTTGAATTTATACATTAACAAACGTAATACTTGGCAACTAATTTGAAATGTAAAATGTAGTAATATCTAATTAATAATTACTACAAATGTAACTTGACTAGTCTGGACTCATTTAAAGAACCTCAATTATCACCACCAACTAAATTTCTACCATAAGTTAAAGTAGTTCGTAACCTACAAGAGCGAGTCAAAAGCATAAAGGCATTTGGTAAAGAATGAGTATTAAGAAAGATCAAAAGTAAAAGCAAAAAAATAAAAAAAAGCTCATCATCATGCATCATATGTACACCCCACAATTCCATAACCTCTTCACTCCACTATACTTACTTTTGTTTACTCTCATTTCCTTACCGTTATATATTCTCCTGCCCAAAAAACTCAACTATCAAAATAACCAGCTTAGAGTAATTAGTAGTAGTAGATATGGGAGGAAAAAAGAAGAAGAGGCAAGAAACTACGTCAGCGGCGTTGTCGTCATCGTCGTCATTAAGGTCTTCCTCGTATCGTCGAGACTCTGGTTCTCCGGCGACATCAACCACCAATGTTGGGTGTATGTCCGGGATTTTTCATCTCATGTCTAAGTACCATACTCGCCGTAAATTCCTCACTTTTGGTACGTACGTAAACTTAATTTAGCCAACTTTTTTTTTTTTTTTTGTGATAATAATAATAAAAATAACTAGCATATATAAACTTGTGATCATATTGAAAAAAAACCAATTTTATTTTACAATATTACATTTTATAAAATAATAGAAGAAAATTTGTTTAAACTGCATTAGACATACCAAATATACATTACTACAAAAAGATTAATCATTTTGCTCATTTAGTTTTAGCATTAAAATAGAATGTTTGTGTAATATTTAGAAAAATTATGTACTTCAACGTAATTTTTTTTTTTTTTTTTTTCATTGTTATATATTCAAGTGATCAATAATAATAATAGGTAAAAAACAAGAACGTAATGCCGTTGTCCAAGCTTCCACATCACCACCACCAACAAAATCCGAAGACACCGTCAAATGCCAACAACATGAACAAGGCTCGTCGGCTGGAAGACTTTCGCTTGATCAGACGCCAAGAAGCCCAGCGATTCCGGCGGAGATCCGACGATCATCGACAGACAGCTCGGTGAGCTCGCCTAGGGTGGTGGCACGTTTAATGGGACTTGAAGATTTTCCGGCGAGATCTCCGGCGCCGGCGACTGTGGTGTCTCCGGCAGCGGAGAAGAGGAGGAAGCTTCTGGGGGCGTTGGAGAAATGTGATGAGGACTTGCAGGCGTTGAAGAAGATTATAGAGGCGGTGCGCGCCACCCAAACGCCACCGCGAGTGGCGGAGATGAAGAGACGAGAGGAGGTGGAGGATGTGGACAGTGAGGTGGGGAGTGATGGGCCGAGTCCGGTATCGGTGTTGGATCATCGTCACTTGTCCTCCGGTTATTACCAAAGAACCACTAATGGTAAGACTAATAATTTTCTATTTTGAACATTTTGTTTCTGTCTTATTTATGCTCCACTGATTTGCTAGCTTAATTCTAAATTAAGGAAATTATATTTCTAATAATTAAATTTATTAGTTTTAGATATATTTTTTTAAATAAATGTATAAGTAATAATAACAATGGTATATATGATATATCATTAAAAATAAAAAAATAAAAAAAAAACAATTAATGACTTGCATGATTTTACTATATAAGAAAATATATACTCTGTATATTAATATAAAATATCATTAAATACCAACAATATTTTTAATGTAAAAAGTCAAAACGGTAAGATCCAGGAGTATTCTCCTAAGTTAGCTACCTTCCTTATATAGGGCTGGTGCCGAAATGCTAGATTTTGGGCCAAATATGACAAAATAAGGTTTCATAGGCAAACTCCAGGTGAAAGTTTCCCCAGTTGAACACAATCTTCCATAGAATTTCATGGTTACAGCTTATGATTAGAGCATACTTTTAGCACATGATCTATATAATAGACCTCTACATCGAATGATAATGTTTTGTGGTTAAAAAACACATTGATGGTGTTGCCCTTTTTCCTTTCCACGTATTAGAGTATAGAATAAGGTTTATATTAGGTTTCTGTAGGTCGTATGTAGCATCCAATTTGTACCGAGTAAACGTAAGTTATAAGGTTGTTCGTTTGAAGTCCATTGTAACTTTAACACTTATATTACTCCATCATAAAAAGTATTTGCTCCAACCTACATGTCTTTAGGTGGCATGCATTCGTGTTGAACTGTTAGTTAGAGTATGTGATGTGAACACACTATCTGAATCTCTGTCAAGTGTATGTAACTTTGTTCGTTTAAGCACTTGTATTTATAAATGCACGATAAAAGTATACTTCGTATATAAGTATGTGAAAATATGATGATTAAAAATACTCTGTATATATCGTAATGGCATTGAAAAAGAACATAAGTTTTGAGTTTCAATTCGACTGATTTAAGATGAGGGTTACATGATGAACTTATAGGTACCGACTAAATTAATTTAAAGTGCTTTTTTATAACGCGTATTTAATATTTCTTGATCTTATTACTGTATAAAAACATCATCTCCTTAAGATACTTCTTTTTTTCCCTTTTTAGAGAGTGCTTCAATTCAGTCTAAAATACGCATGAAATCTAAAGAACAACTTTTTTTTATTTTTTTTTTATTTTTAAGATACCCTAAGGTGGAATTTTTTTTCATCAGAAAGTGGGAGACAATGCATGTTCATTCATGCAAAAGGGACAAACTTTAATCCACCATACGTAAGGTAAATTGGCCCCACTAAAACACACATAGATGTTGTAGCAGACTAGCAGGCCCTAACTAATCAAACTCTTTGGTTGGTGTTGAATTTTGATTATTCCTTGTCTTTTAGTGATTTGATGTAATAACCATTATTCTCCAATATTACTTTGCATTTATCATATACTCCATGGTAGTGTGAATGAATTATTACAATGTGACCCCAGCTACATTAATCATGTAATGAGTTTCATAATGACATGAATATTTCCTTTAGAGGACTGTATCATAATTAGTTTTGAAAAAGTTTGAGATGATCAAGCGCAATTTAAATGATGTAGACGGTATATTTCCTTGAATTAACAAGTATATAGATCTCTTATTAAGTTGTATGTTGTTGAAATCAGAACATGAATTACATATAAACTTTTTGCTGATCACTTTTAACTGCAACATTTTGACTTTTACATTATTTATAAACCTTATTAGTATAAAAGTAAATGTCACGGAGTACTTTGTAATATTAGATTTACAAACTTTTGCACATTATTTGGCATTTGGTCATGATTGTATGTCATTAGTAAAAATAATGGCATCGAAAGTCTCTTAAAGCATGTAACTTACTTTTCAAATTTTTAGGCAAATGCAATTTATATAATCAACTAGTCTTATAAGTATTACTACGGAGTAGCTTTAATCATCATATTGTCTCTTTTAATCTCTAACATTGTGACATATAAACTTTGTAACATTAATGATTAATACTACGATTTTTTCATAATCCAGAGCAAATTATGCAACAACAAAAGCCAAAGCAGCAAAAACCGCAACAAATGACTAGGAAAAAGCCAGGAGATCATGAAGACAAAGCCATCAATATCCTTAACAAAACATCATTACCTTCCATTACACCACAACTACCCTTACATCTTCCTGCTAGAACAACTCATCATCAGCAGGTGCTCAACACCGCGGCCCCCACGACAGCAGCAGCCGGAGAGCCATGGAGTACGGCGATGAAAGAGAGCGTGTACGAGGTTTGTAGGGATATCGAACGAGGACTAATACAAGAGGTTGGAAGAATTGAATTGATTTTACAAGATATAATTTTTAGAGAATTGATTGATGAAATTATTAAAGAATTTGGTTCTTCTTTACATAAAAGAAGTACTTCCAATTTCAAGTTAACTTTCGAAGCATGCAAGAGACAATTAAGTTTCTAGAGGGTTGTAATGCATCATCGTGTAATATTAATTAAACTTGTACGTGTATTAAACATGTTAGTTACTTAGTTTCCTCTAGTTAGATAATAGAAAGTGTTTGGGTCCAATTTAGTCAAAATTGGGCCTGAGCACTAAATGATCCAATTAAAAGCCCAAGGTCAAGGTTCAACTCTCCAATTGCTCAAAAGTCAAAAGTCAGCCCACAAAGTAAGCCAATTGGGCTAAAGCCCAACCTCTCCATGTATGATGAGGTATAAAAGCCCTCATATTAACACATTCAAGGGAGACACATACATCATCACATACATTATCTCATACACCGATTATTCCAATTTCATATGCTCATTCTTGCATTGAGAAATACTCCACAAAAGCCTCAAGCTACAAACTCTCTTGCATAGTGTCTTCCTTTTTACACATTGTACTGACTCTAGCATCGGAGGGGCCTTCCTCGGAAACACCCCCGAGGCTAGTTTACGTGTGTTCACTGTGCAGGAAACCTTCGGCCCAACACAGCTTGGATCGAATCCAGTCTTCTCCATTTCAGTGGACCTTCGGCAAGGTCCCATTGTTTTCAACCGAAACAATTTGGCGCCGTCTGTGGGGAAGACTTTCAAAAATCTTTAAGCCAAATTCCTAACCAAGATCATCTTGCAATTATCTTAGCAGCCATGGCTAAGAACCGCAAGAGCAAAAGCCTCCGTCAAGGAGCGGGCGAAAAGCCTAAAACCCCTACACCATCGCCCTCGCCGGACCGGAACTCTCCCAAGGGTGCCGGCTCGGGGGGAGGATCACACAAGGAGGATTCCCTATCTCCTATAATGCATGACTCTCAATATAGGCCGGACCACTCTCGGTCTAGCAGGGGTCAGTCTGATCATAGGACATATTCAGTGTCCCGAAGCCAACCATCGGCTGCACGGCCTCATGCCCACACTCGGCCGGGGACCCCTTTGACGGGGCCCAGTTCGGAAGAGGTGGCAAGAGCGCTGGCAGTACTCATGGAGGCAATGAGGGCACAGAATATGCCACCGCCTCGTGATCGAACTCCTCCGCATACCCGGCATCAGCGGAGGAAGTTAGACCATGACGGTGGGAAGCTTCCTTCCTTCCGGGAACTGGAAGAGTGGGAGGAGGATTCTTGGAAAAATGAAAAACAGAGGAAGAAGAACTCTCAATTATTTAAAGGATCCTCATCCTCAAGACCAGCAGCGCATAAGAGCAGCAGCTCAGCTTCTCGGCCAGAATCTACTCGCCGGGAACCTGAGACTGCTCGCAGAAGCGTCCTTGACCGACTCGGCGGCCAGGAACCGAGCGTGCGTAGTCGCCTCACGTTCCCTGCAGCCGAGGCCCAGACTTCCCAGCCAGGGACGAAAACCACTCCTACCTCTCTAAGAGGGCGGAGCGCGGTCCCTTCGGCCAGGAACAAGGGCAAGGCCATTATGCTTCCCGCTAGTTCACCATTCGAGCAATGGATACTGGAAGAGCGCGTACCCACGGTTAAAATACCGTCGCATATCACATATGACGGGACCACGGATCCGAAGGACCACGTGGCCTCGTATGAGACTCATATGCATCTTTGCCCTAGATCCGAGGCGACTTGGTGCAAATATTTCCCAACCACTCTCAAGGGGGTCGCGCAAGCGTGGATCTCCAAGGGAGTAAGGCAAGGCTCCATAACAGGTTGGGATGATCTGTCCTCCAAGTTCAGGAGCAAGTTTTCCACGGCAAACCGCCGAGAGAAGACTACCGCAGAGCTCATGGGTCTGCAACAGGGGGAAACTGAAAGCCTCTGAGACTACCTGACCCGTTTCAGTAACGAGTCATCAAGCGTCTCTCAGCTGGACCAGGGGCTAGCTGTTTTTGCAATGCAGAATGGCCTTCAGCCAGGAAAATTCCTAGACTTCATGGTCATGCATACCCCGCAGACCTTGGAGGAAGCTCTTAATGCTTCGGATAAGTTTATCCGAGCCGAAGAATGGAATAAAGCAAAAACCCAACCTCAATCCGGGGGAGGGAAACAGAGGCAAATACCCTTGTCTGAAGGCCAAGGCCATAAGGCAAAGGGAAAATCAAAGGCCTCGGAGCCATCTTCGGCCAGCGACCTAAAGAAGGACAGGTTTGCCTCATACACAGGCAGATACGAGTCCTACACTCCGCTCTCTCTTCCACGCGCCAAAATTTACAGTGTGACGAAGGAGGAGCAGAGTTACCGAAAGCCGAGACCACTCCCAGAGTGGTATCAGCGAAAAAATAAAAATCAGTGGTGTGAGTTCCACGATTCTTCGGGCCACAACACTGAGGAGTGTATCCAGCTGAAGGACCAGATAGAAGACATGGTCCGGAAGGGATACTTGAAAAAATACATCGCGGATCACCGCGAGAAAAAAGAATCCGAAAGGTTAGCAAAGGACCCTCGGCAGGACCTTGATTTCCCTCGGAAAAACAGTAAAAAACCGGAGGGGAAATTCCCTCCGATCAATGTTATCTCGGGAGGAATATACTCTCGGAGGGAGCACAAGCGTCACCTTAGAGCTTTGACTCACCAGGTGAACAACGCTGACATTCAATCTCCCCAGTCGCCGGTGCCGAACATGACGTTCACAGCCGCCGACTGCCGGGGGATTACGTTCCCTCACGAGGATCCGTTGGTGATCATCGCCACGGTGGCCAACCACGACGTCAGTAAGGTCCTTGTTGACGGTGGCAGCGGAGCAAACATTCTGTTCCGAAAGGCCTACAACCAAATTAAGCTGAAGCCCAAGCACCTTACGCCGGTACCCTATCCGGTATCCGGGTTCAATGGGGCTTCAACTTATCCAGATGGGAAGGTGACACTTCCTGTCACCATCGGTTGCGATGAGGCAGCCCGGAACGTCATGATTGAGTTTTTGGTCATCGACGCTCCTTCAGTGTACAACGTGATTTTGGGGAGACCCATAATTCACGAGATCCAAGGGGTCGTCTCAACTTATCATCAGCTGATGATTTACGTCTCAGACGCCGGCTTCCCCGAAAGGATACAGGGCAACCAGAAGGACGCCCGAAGGTGCAACTACCTCAAGCCATCCAGTAGTCGCCCAGATAACGACAAGGATGAGGAGGAGAAAGAAAAAGAAAGAGAGCCAAGCACAAAAAAGCCGAAAGGCCTAAGTGCTTCGGCCCAAGGATCAGTGCCCAGAGAAAAAGGTCCCGAAAGGGAAAAGGTTGACTCTTCAGCTGAGCCGCAAGACTCAGAGAGCCAGCCGAAGAACACAAAGACTGGGACACCTGCTGACATTGGCAGCAGACCAGATTCTGAAGAGTCCAGTCCATCGGCAATGGACATGGACCAACAGACTGAAACAGTTGAGTTGGCCGAAGGAGATGCTGAGAAATGTGTAACAATCGGGATGGACCTTGATCCTGACACCCGTTGTGAACTTATTCAGCTCCTTCGGGATAACAGAGATGTGTTTGCTTTCTCGGCAGCTGATATGCCCGGGATAAGTTCAGACCTCATCTCCCATAAGCTTAATGTTGACCCAGCGTGTCGACCAGTTAAGCAAAAGAAGCGGAATTACTCCGCCAATAAGAACCGAGACATCGCAGCCGAAGTCAAAAAATTATTGGAGGCAGGATTCATTGAACCTTGCCAATATCCGGAATGGCTGGCAAATGTGGTGATGGTTCAGAAGCCCAATGGTACCTGGAGGATGTGCGTTGACTTCACGGACCTAAATAAGGCTTGTCCAAAGGATTTCTATCCCTTGCCAAGAATCGATCAGCTAGTCGATTCGACAAGTGGCCATGCCTTGCTTAGTTTCATGGACGCATTCTCGGGGTATCATCAGATCTTTATGCACCCCGACGATCGGGCCAAGACAGCATTCGTCACGAACGCTGGGGTGTATAATTACAAAATGATGCCCTTCGGATTGAAAAATGCGGGGGCAACCTATCAAAGGCTGGTGGATCAAGTTTTCGCCGATCAAAAGGGCCGAAACATGGAAGTCTATGTTGACGATTCGATCGTCAAAAGCAGAAAACTAGAGGACCATGTAAAGGACCTGGCTGAAACTTTCGCCACCTTGAGAAAGCATCAAATGAAGCTGAATCCGAAGAAGTGTGTCTTCGGCGTGAAGTCAGGGAAATTCCTGGGTTTCATGGTCAGCAAAAGGGGGATTGATGCCAATCCCTCTAAAGTCAAAGCGGCGCTCGACCTGCCTGAGCCGAAAACGAAGAGGGATGTTCAGCGGCTCACCGGAAGAATGGCAGCCCTTTCGAGGTTCATTTCTAGAGCTTCGGATAAGGGGTTACCCTTCTTCAAAGCCCTGAAACTCCCGAAAACAAAAGAGCTTGTTTGGGAGGAAGAGCAAAAAGACGCCTTTCAACAGCTTCGGGAGCATCTGGCTCAACTCCCAACGCTGGCTAGCCCAGTTGAAGGAGAAACTCTATACCTATATGTGGCCGTTAGCCCAGCCACCATCAGCGCAGTATTGCTGAGGGAAGAGAGTAAGAGTCAGCAACCGATTTATTTCGTCAGTCATACACTGACGGATGCCGAGACCCGCTATCCTCTACTCGAGAAAGTTGCTTTCGCGGTAGTGGTAGCTGCTCGGAATCTGAGGCCCTATTTTGATTGCCATCAGATAGTGGTCTTAACTGATCAGCCGTTGGAAAAAGTTCTTGGCAAGGTTGAAAAATCCGGTAGACTAGCCAAGTGGGCTTTTGAGCTCACCGAATTCAGCATCAGCTACCGTCCGAGGGCTGCCATCAAGGCTCAAGCCCTGGCGGATTTCTTGGCCGAATGCTCATACCAAGAAGTGCTGGACAGTGACAAGAAAGTCTGGACCGTGTTTACGGATGGGTCTTCCACCGAAAACGGTTCGGGGGCAGGAGTAGTGATAACTTCTCCCGAAGGCAAATCCTTTGAGTATGCACTAAAATTTTCTTTTAAGGCCTCGAACAATGAAGCCGAATATGAGGCAGCAATCGCCGGCCTACAATTATGCATCTCCTTGGAAGCCGATCATGTCTGCTTAAAAACAGACTCTCAGCTAGTTGCATA